TGGACGGTACTTCATTCCAACCAATGCTGTGGGGATGGTGCCCCCTGCCATTAAGGACCCCGTAAGAGACAGCTGTGGAAGTCTGCACCAGAGCTACCTGCAACATCCCACCAAAGCCCACAGGAGTCGGTCTTGTCTAATAGCCAGCACATCATGTGCACTCCAGAGGGCATTACTGTTAGACCAAACACCCTTGTACGTGGGTTCTACCTATCAGCCAGCTCTTGTTACTACAGTGCAACACCTGTGGAAACTAACTGAAAAGAGATGACATCTATTGGGGTGACAGCTTTGGGAGATCACATCCAACACTGGGCAGCCCCACTTACTTTTAGTAAGGGCTTTGAGTAGGCAGTGCCTGCAGAGGGAGGACTGTCTGCACCCAGTGAGGGCTGCGAGTGCCCGCAGAGGGAGGACCATCTGTGCCCAGTGAGGGCTGCAAGTGGGCAGTGCCCACCAAGGGAGGATTATCTGCACCCAGTGAGGGCTGCGCGTGGGCAGTGCCCACCGAGGGAGGACCGTCTGCGCCCAATGAGGGCTATGAGTGGACAGTGCCCGCAGAGGGAGGACCATCTGCGCCCAGTGAGGGCTGCAAGTGGGCAGTGCCTGCAGAGGGAGGACCGTCTGCACCCAGTGAGGGCTGAGTGGGCAGTGCCCACCGAGGGAGGATTATCTGCACCCAGTGAGGGCTGTGAGTGGGCAGTGCCCACCGAGGGAGGATTATCTGCACCCAGTGAGGGCTGCGAGTGGGCAGTGCCCGCAGAGGGAGCCACACAGCTAGGAAGCAGAGAGCAGCTGGTCCCCTACCAGCCTGGGAGAACCACTTTCTGAGGGCACAGCCCCAAAGGCACACAGACCTCTCACTGGACCTAAGCACACCTGGTTTATACTTCCACCCACTTAATGCCATTAATATTTCACTCTAGGGTTTATAGTCATGTACGAGTTGGAGAACCAAACAGTATTAAGACCAGAGCACTTTAACAGGCTAAGAAGTGAATGATCTCTACGTTTTGTTCAATGTTCTACAGCAAGGGCTGGCAAGCAACAGTCTGTGGGCCCAACCTGGACCAACCTGCTCCACACAGAGCCAGCCACACACTGCCCTTGGCTGCTTTTACACCAGCACAGCACAGCCGAGCTGGCTTAACCAGACCACAATGCTCCCAAATAAAAGTATCACCTCTCATCCTGCAGCAAAGGTCTGTGGCCCCACAGAACCTCACGTCGGCAGACAGACACTGCTGCTTCTAGAAAGGAAAAAAAAAACTATCCTTTCCTTTTATATTTTATGTGAAATTTTTTCCTTATTGGAATGCCTTATTTACATTGCGTTCAGATATGATTCTACGGGCCTGGTGGTGTGGCTTAGTGGCTACAGTCCTCACCTTGAACCCCCCGGGACCCCCATATGGGCATCAGTTCTCCACTTCCCAGCGGCTCCACTTCTCATCCAGCTCCCTGCTTGTGGCCTGGAAAAGCAGTCAAGGACGGCCCAAGGCTTTGGGAGCCTGCACCCGTGTGGGATACCCAGAGGAAGTTCCTGGATCCTGGATTCGGATCGGCACAGCATCGGCCGTTGCGCTCACTTGGGGAGTGAATCATCGGACGGAAGATCTTTCTCACTGTCTCTCCTCCTCTCTGTATATCTGACTTTCCAATAAATAAATAAATCTTTAAAAAAAAAGATATAATTCTATTTGTGAACTATTTTAAAAAATGGTCTAGAATGTAAACTTTAAAAAAAAATGTCAAATTATTATGTTTGCCTCCCTACCTTCCATCTTTAGTTTAAAAAAAATTTTTTTGAAAGAGCTGGAGAGATCCTCCATCTGCAGGTTCACATCCCAAATGGCCACAACAGTGAGGACAGGGTCAGGTTGGAGCTAGGAGCCAGGAGCCTCATCGAGAGCTCCCACACGGACGCGGGGACCTGAGCATATTCTCCACCTTCTGCTGCCTTTTCCAGGCCCCATGCAGGGGACGGGGTCAGAAGCCGAGGAGCTGGAAACCAAAAGCAGCATCTGCAAGGGCTGCAGGTGTCACGGGCAATGGCTTTAGAACACTATGTGGGCCCCGCGACCCGTCATCTTGAGAAAAAATGTCTTAGGAGATGAGTAAGTTTACCCCAAAATTATCAACAGAAGGGAACAGTAAAGAACAATATGAGGAAAAGTGGAAACAGAAAAGAAAGCAATTGCATCAATGAAACTGTGAGTTGGTTCTTTGCAAAGACCAGTAAAATTAACTGATCATCTTCAGCCAAAACACGGAAGTAGAAAACACAAATGACCAAAATCAGGAATAAAAGCAGAGATCACTACCAGGGAATAACAAAAATTAAAAATTTTATCTGGAAAGACTGAGCAGCTGCATGTCCACAAACCAGGTAACAACTAAAATAGACAAGCTCCTAGCGAAACTGACTGAAGAAAACAACCTGAACTAGCCTGCAAACATAAAGAGCTGGAGTAACTCACTAAGTCTCCCGCAGTAACAGAGGCAGCTGGTTTCACAGTGAACTCCGCCCAACAGTCAGAGCAGCTGCCACGTTCTGCTAAGTCTAGCGACTGCAACTGGGGGCAGGAGAGGGGAAGGATGCCTGAGCTGCGAAAAATGAAAGAAAATGGACCTCAGATATGGAGGACACTACATCTACTGAAACTATTGAGTGAGTTCAGCAAGACCACGGCTTAACAAATCAATACACAAAAGTCAACTATGTTTACATATACTATAATCGAACACTCTGAAAACTAAGAAAATATTCTCATTCACAGTAGCACGAGAAGGAAAAAAACCACATCAAGTGCAATGGCTGACTGCTACTAAAGAAATCAAAGACCTAAATAAATGGAGACAGCCTGGGTTCACAGGTGGGAAGATTTAAAATGGAGACAGCAATATTACCCAAATGGGAGACTCCACAGAGAAACTGGAAAACGAATTCCAAAATTAATATGGAAACACAAGTAATTAAGAATAACAAAAATAATTAAATGAAAATAAACAATTGTTTTTTGGAAAAAAAAAAGCTGAAGAACTCAAATTTTCATTTTAAAATCTTACTAAAATGGTTAGATAGACTAATGGAACAGACTTAGAGTCTACAAATAAACAATGGCATTTATAGTCATCTGATTGTACACATGGACGCCAAGACAATTTAATGAAGAATCGCTTCTGCATCAAACAATGCTGGGTCAAATGAACACTCACGTACAGAGGGGTGAATGGGAGCCTTATCCGACACCATGAATTTCAAAACTTTGTCATCCGACTTACAAATAAACTTGTCTTTGAATTCTATTTTCCATTTGTTTTTTGAAGTACTCTCCTACATAAAAACTTGTGACTCAATAATAAGATAAATAAACCAATTTTACAGTGGGCAAAAGCAATGGATGGACATGCCACCAAGGATGATATGAGATGTTTCCCATCCAAAAGCCCACCAAAACCACAATGAGTCCACTCCACACCAGAATAGCCACTGCTTTTAAAAAACAGTAAATCAACTCCACAACAACGTGTGGGAAAGGCAGCGCCTGTGTGTTACTGGTGCGAACATGACACGCTGCAACTATTTCAGGAAAAAAGTTTGGAAGCTTCTGGAAATGCTGATATTGAATGTACCATGGGACCCAGTGAAGGGCGTTATGTCCACATGTGGATGTTCAGAGCAGCATTAATAAATGGAAAGCAGAAGCAAGCCAACTGCCCATCAGCCAGGAAACGTGCCAGGCACAGCCGCACAACAGAACAGCCCTCAGCAAGAAGAATGAAGTACCCTTACCCTCTCACACAAGTAAGCCTCGCCACCACAGCAAGTAAAGTCAGGTGCAGAAGACCACATACTGGAACGCTGTCTGTGTGTTTGTATGTTCAGAATAGCCAAAGAGTGGTTCTCAAAGGCCGGGGGTAAGATAGAAAACGACTGCAATTTTGGGGTGAGAGAAAAGTTGTGAGATTGGAATGTCATGATAGTTGTAGGACTACAGCAATAGACTTAAAACCACTACTCAAATCAAATGTCACAGAGGTTCTAACTCACGGAGCTGTGCAGGAGCAGACTGCGGCACAGCGAGCTAAGTTACCACTGGCAATGCCTGCATCCCATATCTGGAGTACGTGGGATAGAGTCCCACCTCTGCTTCTGATCCAGTTCCCTGCCAGTGTGCCTGCGAGGCAGCAGGTCACGGCTCCAGTGCTTGGGTCTCTGCCACCCACGAGGGAGACTCCGACGGAGTTCCTGGCCTCTGGCTCCTGTTAGCCCAGTCTGAGCTGCTGCAGGCATTTGGGGAGTGAACCACCTCTCAGTCTCTCTGTCTCTCAAATACATTCCTCCCCATCCGCCCCCCCCCCAAAAAAGCTGTGTAAAAGAAGTCCTGCCACAAAATTCTAAATGTCTGTGTAAGTCTATCTGTGATTCCGACACTCCTGACACTGATCTCTCAGCTGACTCCTGTGGGAGAAGGCGGGTGCGTAAGTGCCTGCTTGGGAATTGCTGTGCCAGGCTCGGAGCCCAGTACATAAGGGCAAGTCAGCAAGCTTCCAGAAAGATCGCAGGAAAGCTATGAAGAACTGCACACACACACAAACCCAACCAACCTAACAGCTAAAAGGAAAGACAATCCATGATCTTTAATTTGGGGGTACTTTAGGGTGCACGTTTGGAAGGTGTTTGCTCATCAAGAGAACAGAAGTCAGCCGTGTGCATGCAGACCTGGCACCTGTACTTCTCCTTTAAGAACACACGGAGCCCCCAGCATGTGATGACAAAGCTTCCATTCCATTTCATCGGTCATAAAGGTATCAGTGGACAGGAACTTATTCTCAGTGCTGGTCTGCTTCTTCCAGCACTACTCAGCCAGGACACCCCAGCATCTGAAGGACCACAGGCAGTGGCCATCTCAGGCACCCTTGATGGTGAGACGCACCGGCGTGAGGACAGCTGCTCCCCATTAGCCGGGAACCACACAAGCACAGTATGACTGGACTTTCCTAAAATAAACCATTTATTGAAAAAAGAACCTTTTTCTTCAGTTTCATTAATCAGCCTTTTGTGTAACAAACCTGCAGCTTGCCAACAACAACAAAGAGATATGGTTTCACAGTCAGTGCACTCAACAAACAGATTAAAAACAAGCTCTGGGACGCCTGAGAACACTACAGCTTTCTCTGAACCCAGGAAGGTCAAACACACAGGTCTCAGGCACGCGAGAAACGGAGGAGGCAGAAGCAATGGTCCGTGTACAGTAGTAATGGCACTTAACATGCAGCTTCTCGAACCTCGTGGACCCTGCCACGCAGCACACCCACAGGATCAGCAGCAGGAGTGACGCTCGTCACCTGGGCAGTCTTCAGTCTTGCGAGGGAAGAAGGCCTTCACTGCTTTTCCGCTCGGTCTGTGTCGATATCCCGTACAGCAGTAACTGAGGAGCCTCCGGTCCACACCACGGGGCCACAGCCTGCTGCCTCATTCTTCATCTGTGCAAACCTGCGGGAGAGCAGGACAGCGGAGCCCTTACAGCCCCCGAGTCGCCGTGCATGCACAAGGCGTGAGGCCACGGAGGACTCCACCCAGCACCCCCAGTGCCAAGCTGTTGGGGTCCGTGCAGTATATGTGGGGGACATGAAGGGGTGAAGAGTGTTGTTCCATTGCAGGCAGGGCCACAACGAATTTCCTGCTGTACCACAGGGCCCGCCCGGCGGATGTCACTACAACCACCTGAATGCATCTCCACCTTCTTTTGCATGGACACCGGACCACCCTGCGGAAGAACTCTAATCCATCCTGGCATTTGCTACTGCGAGGCTGGCCTTTTGCTCAGCCTGAGCTTGGAGGTCAATGTCTTGCAGAAGGGCCCTTTATCATTCCTACTGTCTTGGCTGTCCCCATTGAGCCTATGCTAATCAAGGGATCTAGATTTAGGCTTTCATTCTTTCCTCATTCTTTAGATTCCCCTTTTCTTTGTGACACAAGATTGAATTGTAGGATAAGAATTGTAGCAGGAACTTCTAGGTATTGTTTCTAGGTAATACTATGGCAGAGTTATCTTTAGAAACACCCACTTGACTGTGACGTACAAAGTCTGGGCCAGAGTTTAACTGATTTTGTATAAACAAAGCAGACAGCTTTTGTGCATCGTCCATTATGATCATGAAATCCTAGTGGTCCGTCTCTTTCTTTCCTCTTTGCGCCTCATCCACGCACCCTTCGCGAGTTCAGAACTCAGCTGGAACAGGACTCCGGCAAGTGGCACCAGGCCAGGGGCAACACGGAAGACCAATGATGGTGCCGTGTCAGGTCAATGTACCTCAACTAAGAAAGCAACTTGGTCATAAATGGCTATTAAGTCATAAATGGCCCTACAGGTACCCTAAGTGGCTGATCCTGTTCCCAGGATCATTCCTCACTCCCACCCCAGCTTGCCTCCTGCAGGGAGCACCCAGAAGGTTCTTCAGAATTCTGGGGTCACCACTCTCCACATGCTGTCTCCAGCAGCACACCCTGGCCTGCCTCCCACAGAAGTTCTGAAGTGGCAGCTCCAAACATCCCAAAACCTACCTGAAGACCCTGAGCGGTGTCCCGGCCACCCCTCCATCACCTGACCGGAAGGACACCTCTCTCCACCCCTCCATCACCTGACTGGAAGGACACCACTCTCCACCCCTCCATCACCTGACTGGAAGGACACCAAGCTCCACCCCTCCATCACCTGACCGGAAGGACACCAAGCTCCACCCCTCCATCACCTGACCGGAAGGACACCAAGCTCCACCCCTCCATCACCTGACCGGAAGGACACCTCTCTCCACCCGACTGCGGGCTTGCCTTGGCACAGTGAACAGGACCTCTGTGCCCTGGTGAGAAGCCACGGAGCAGGGAACCGTTCCTTGCCCACTCCCCTCTCCCACCCCACCAGTTCTTCAGCTAAGGCCGTTCTCCCCCTTCACAACTTGCCATGACTGCTCGCTGCATAAGCACACACTGCGGCCACAGCGCCTTCCTCCACCTGCTCCTGCCTTTCGGCCTCAGCCCCTCTTGGCACTGCCTGCTCCTCCAGCCTCACCCATGCTCCCTCCGCTCCTGCACAGCTTTAGCCCAGCAGGCAGTCTCCCCTTTGCTTCATTCCGTCTGCCATAACCCTTCTCTGCTGCTGACTTGGCCAACCTTCTCACACTGGTCAGGGCCACTCCTGACAGAAAGGTGGCTGCGCACTAACCTTACCATGTGCTACATGTGAAGGCACTTCAAAAAACTTAGGGGAAACCACAATGTAAGAATGTAGCTTCTGGTGCCCAATAATTTGAAACACTAGCATGCTAGGCTTTGTCAGTCCCTACAATTTTCCCATGAACTTTTGGAATACCTTCTTATACCCCATTTCTGATCTTGACACAGTGGTGGTGAATCCTAACCTGTCTTTCCAGAGATGCTCCAGAAAGCCCCTTTAACTCTCAAGCAAACCTCAGACACGGCACCAAAACCAAGCTAGGAGTCCCAGGATGACCACTCTACACATGAAAACACGTGCCCGGCGACCCCCACAGCAGGACGCCTGGTTCCCCTGAACTTCAGTCCGAGTGTTTTACACCTGAGCTTCCAGGTGTTCCGAAGTGCCAGATGTAAACAGCTCGCGCATCGGAACGTGCGGACACCTACCTTGACAAACGAGTGGTCGAGGAGCTGGCTGGCTGTCCATCTCATCTTTGGGTCACTTTCAAGGCAGTGAGAAAGGAAGTCCTTCCCTTCTCGGCTTAGTCTTTCAGGGATGGGTGGTTTATGTCCCATTCCCACTTTATACATAATCTGGAAGTTGTGTTCATACTCATGCCACGGCCTCTATAAAGATTAAAGAGAGACAGGTTTTAGTATTACACTCAATCTCTTTTTAGGCATCTCAAGACAAGTATGTATTAGGCAAGAGTCAGGCAAGCTTACTGCGAGAGCCCAACAGTAGCTGTTTATATTGTAGCTATTCAACTGTCGTCATTAACACAGACACGGGGACAGGTACGGCTGTGTCCTATGAACTTTATTTATGAAACACTGCTAGCCAGCACTGCTTGCCTCTCTCATTCGGGATATGTTTCTAGTTGCAGCATATCCAGAACCCTGCACTATGCAATTAAAAAGTATTCGCTAAATATATCCCATAAGAAATACAGGGACTATATAGGAACACAGTATATATTTGCAAAAAATACTATGAAAATGTAAGTAAAACCCACAAAACCCAACAATTTTCTTACAGGGATGTTTAATAAATACTGAATAGTAAAAATCCAATTCCTGCATAGAAAAAAAGATTCGTAGGGGAGGGAAGCTGGCCTGTGCGGTATCCTAACTCGTGAACATCAGTACTGCTGTGGTGTGTCCTTCTGTGTCCGGACCTGGCCTTGCTTTTACGTGTGTCCTGAAGGAAATGGCAGACACTGTGGGTGAGCTTCCTATTTTAACGCCAAGAAAAATAATATAAGCTGATACATGTTGGGCAGCTGCCAAGGAAAGCTGCTTAATAATTTCGTTAATTTGCTCCTCGAAGTGACAGGTTTCTGGCTTTTCCCCCGTGCATAAACGCCACAGCACAGACACGTACTGTACGTACAAACACACCAGGTACATGTGTGTCAGCATTTGTAGTCTGTCTTTGTACGCCTGTGTAACTGGCCACCAAATCTGCTTCTGCTAGTACATTTTCAGAACTCCAAATTCCCGGGTTGGAGGGCTCTGCACAATCAACATCCTGGTACTGGAAACTGGCCCGCAGCGTAGCCTGTCATTCAAAATCTGTCTCCATAACAAGTCCGCGTTTCCTCACATGCTCTCCAACACTGAGGACTACTCATCTTGGAAAACCCCACTGCACACTAAAGATCAAGTTTCCTGTTCCATGTACATTTCTGATTACTCGTGGAGTCCATTATCTCTTCATGTTCCTTTTTAAGACATCATACTATTTTTTGAGCAATACTGAGTTCACAGAAAGACTAACTGGAAATCAAATTCCCAAACATGCCAGCCTCTGCAATTCCACTGTGATGTACACCCCACACTCCCGTAAGTACTTGTTAGATCAGATAAATCAGCACTGACACATGGCTGCCACCTGCAGTCTGAGTGCGTGGCTGAACACTCCATGGGCTTGGGCAGATGCCAAGTGGCATGTGCCCAGCATCACCATTCCCTACAGAGTAACTCCTTGCTCTCGAGTTCTCCACTTCTGTATCCTCCTTCAGCAACTTCTGGCCAGCTGGGATATTGCACCACCCTGTGGTGCTGCGGCTCCCAGCAGGTCAACTGGCACAGAAGCACCCAGCACCTGGTAGCCTTACACACGGGCACCCTCACCTAGCACCTGGCAGCCTCACACTTGAGCGCCCCCATCCCCAGGCCATGCACACACCATTCTGTGTCTAGGAGTGGCTCCTTTTTATCGCCGAGTACTTTTTTACCTGGTGAGTCTATTTCTTCCTTTACTAGCAGGGGACCTGCTGTCTGCACCCCAGGTTATGAATAAAGCTGCAGTGAAAATTCACGTGCAGGTTTTGATTTGGAGCTAAGTGCCTTCTGTCAGTGCCATGGCTCTCTGCAAGGCCCTATCTTTGTGTCCGAGCATGCTCTGAGCACAAGACCTGCCCAGTGAGCCCCCAGCACCACCCCCTTGCCGCTAGGGGCTTGGCCTACCTTGCCAGTCACCATTTCTATGACGACACAGCCCAGGCTCCAGATGTCCGCGGCACGCCCGTGGCCTTCTCCTTTGGCACGAGTGATGACTTCTGGGGCCATGTATGCTTTAAAAGTCACACACATGGCAAGAGTAATGAGTTACACACATAGCAGCAGATGCCAGAGGAGCAAAGCAATGAATTACTCTCATAAAATGGTCTTTCCCTGAGTCACATTACAGAAAATACAGAAAAGCAGACTCAAGGAACAATTTTTTCAGATAAACTATACTGTAACCCACAAAGAAGGAGGCAGTGTGCTGTGCCGCTGTGTGAAGTGCTTTGAGGACAGGGCAGAGCCGCCCTGACCCTTTAGGGAGCATCTCCCAGCCCGCCATCCTGCAGGGGAGCCAGGGGTGCAGCAGCAGGCCCTGCAGGACTGAACACCACCCATCCCCTGCCTCACGTTGCACTAGCAAGTCCAGGTGCCAAGGCCGACCCGGAAGGCCCTACCTGCTGTCCCCAGTGTGCTGTTCACTTCCCCAGGCATGGTCTGCGCATTGTTTTTAAGCTTCACCGAGCATCCAAAATCTCCCAGTTTGATGAGTCCAGATGATGTAAGGAAGATATTGGCACCTATCAAGAAAGAAGGAGTTGTAACCATAATGTAGGCATTTTAAAGTTTACATGGTAATCAAAAGCTCCAGGAACTTTGCTCATAAAAATGTGTGAAACTTTACTTACAATGCAATCAGTATTCACAGATGCTAATCATAGAAAGCAGATATTTTAATGTCAGTATACACAGCTTTCATCAACAGATTCTGCACTGAAATACCTGGCAAATTCTAATATTAAAAGCTTCAACATTAATAAGCAAGTCACACAAAAAACACGGTTGCTGGTGGCGGTCCCTGAGCACGGGGGCCATGTGCCACTCGTAGTTTGCACACAGGTGCAGGGGCCTGAGGGTCGCAGTTGGGGCCACCTCTGGAGTGACACTTGATCCGAATGAGGCTCCAAGTCCTGTTCAAGTATTTCCACAAGCAGCACACGTGCCCAGTCCGAGCTGCAGCTGACACCGGGACTGGACAGCCTGGCCCTCTGCTCTGTGTGCTGTGCAAGCCGGGCAGCCCAACAACAAGCTCAAGTCGGACAGCTGATCCTCCCTGAAGTGACAGCAGACCAAATCCTGCACTCCATGTGCTCATGGCCGTGCCCCCAGCAGGGTACTCAGGAAAGACACAGGAATGACTGGACTTGGGTGCTCTCAGGGACGCTGCTTCTGCACAGATCCAACAGGAAGACCTCATGGCTTGATGACTGGGAGTGGCAGGGAGACAGCTAGCTGGAACAGACATTTAGCCTAGAGACGAGGATGTCCATTTCCCTCGTCAGAGCTCCTGTGTGCACTTCCCAGCGCCAACTCCTGACTCCACCCTCCTGCCGGTGCAGCTCAGGGAGGCGCTATAATGACTCAAATAACCGGGTTCCTGTAACATGGATACCTGGATTGGCTTCTCTGCTTCTGGCTTCAGTCCAGTCTAGCCTTGGCCACTGCAGGCAGCCGGGGAATAACCACAGGATGGAGGGTTCTCCCTGACTCTATTTCTCTTGAACTAATACGAACAAATGGATGAAAGCCACTTAGGCAACACCGTGTGGCTGGGGGGCAGTCAGCCTACAACACTGGCGAATGCCCGGTGGTTCCGGGTGAGCCACATTACTGAGCAGGAGCCAGGCCTCCCCGAGACCAGAATCAGGCCAGCTCTCAGTCAACGTGCTTGGCTGAACATCAGCCTGCAGCAGCAAGTGAACGCTCCAGAACAGGGCCAAATAGAAACACTTCCCTGCTGTCACTGTCCCCAGGCAAGCTGAACTCAAGGTCAGGTGCAGGGGATGGTGAGAGACTGTCTTGAGACAAGAGCATGCTATCCCTTTATGCAAGGAAGAGTGCTTCTGACCATGCACGGCAGCCAGATTCACCCGAGTCCAGCCATGGGCTCAGGGCTGGTGTGGGTAAACGCTCCACCTGCCTCTACCAGCAAGGCCGCACACGCAGGCTCACACAGGTGCTCCCACTTCATTGTCATCACACTCACACAAACAAAGCCCAGGGAATAGAGATGCTGCTCTGGCCACCAATATCTGGAAGTGCACTGGCCATGCCAGCCAGCCCGCCCGCAGCCAGTTCCCCTGCACGGCCCAAGGCCTGGACCCCCAGTGAGTGACGGGAAGGACGTTTCCGCACAGAGTGGCACGCTGGGTCCAGAGCAGGGGCATACCTTTAATGTCGCGGTGGACTATGCCGTGCTCGTGCAGGACGTTGATGGCCACGGTGATCTGCTTGGCGTACAGCCTGATGACGTGCTCCTGCAGGCCCAGGCGCGACACCTCTTCCAGCGTGCCCTCGTCACAGTACTCCATGAAGATATACATCTCCTCCTGCAGGGGAACCCAGGGCAGCCCTGTCACACACTGAGTGCAAGCCAGAAAGTGCCACTAAGCCACGGGCTGCAGGAATGCTGTCGCCAGTGGCCGCTACATCTGCCCTCCTGGGCACCGACTGCGTCTGCAACTGTCACTTCTCGCTCCTCAGAATAAAGTGCTCTGTGATCTCCTATGGAGACCACAGGGCTGTTCCTACCGACACAGGGGAAGAGCTGACACACGTGCTAACTGACAGCTGATTCCCCTGGTGGCTCCTGCTCTGAAATGACAAGCCCTATCAGCACAAAATCCCACTGCCCTCACTGGCTGCTCTCTCCACAGCGGGGGACGGTGGCTCACCCTGTGCAGCTCCACACCAAAGTACCGGACCAGGTTGGGGTGCTTGATGCCCTCAAAGATCTTGAGTTCGTCGGCTGTCTCCTTGATGGTTTTATGGTCATTGGGCTGAAATCGGATCTGTAAAAGGTGCGATAACAGCTAATGGAATTGTTAAAACAACTGAGAGGGAATCACGAAACACACGGAATGTCCAGGAAGCAAACACTGCAATCCCACACCACGCAGAGGACCAGTCTGAGAGTTCGCACCCTGTTCCGATTTACACACGAGTGAGACCGAGGCACTGGCACTTTGGCACCTGGCTTGTCACACTCAGCAGTGTCTCCAGGCTTATTCATGTGTGCCAAAGGTGACCACAGATTCAACAACGGATTTATTTCAGAACTCCTGGGAGACTACCTTTCAAATGTCTCATGATGGAACATACAGAGCACAGCGCTGGGTTTACTACGCGCTTGAAGGAATCATTCCACATTGCATACACACCCCAAACACTATACTGTTCCTTGAAGACATACAGCACCGGGACTTGTAAGTCACAAACACAAAAGAAAACAAGGCTCACTACCAAGCTGGGGCAAGTGGGAGTAGGAGAGGAGGGTCAGACAGAGAGGAGGCTCTAATGGCTAGGAAGGGGGCACAAGCAAGGGAGGGCAGGGCTGGAGGCTCAGCTGGCTCGCACTGTCCCTGCACACCACTCCCCTCACTCCCAAATATCTAGTGCCTCCTAACGTGGGCTCATTCCCAAGTTGCTCTGCACTCTTCCACTGCAGCAGTCTGAGCAAAGCTATCAGAAGCAGAAGCCTTTCCCCCCAACAGGATGGTACTGTGACTGCCCTCCTACCCCCCACAGGATGGTACTGTGACTGCCCTCCCCTCCACAGGACGGTACCCTGACTGCCTCCTCTGGACTTCCTCCATCTCCCGCTTCACGGCATTTGACACACCTGTGGCTGTTCAAGTTCTCGTGCGTGTCACTGAATTTCCCACACCTCTGCTTTCCATGTGTTTGATGTCAGTGGCGTCTGCCCTTTGGCCTTGTTTAAATGCTGTAAGGCAGAAGTGGCCCGACCACTCGCCAGCTCCCGTGCTTAAGCCGGCTCCATGACCTGACTAGGGGCCACTCACCTCCTTCATGGCCATCAGCTCCCCGGTGTCGACACTGATGCAGGTGTACACTTTTCCATACTGTCCTTCCCCTGTGAACGACAGACAGGTTCCTGCTCGACGCCGTTGAAACCCAGAAGAACATGGTCAGCTGTTCCAGATGTGTACTTAGGAATCCATAATTAGATTTACTACCAAAGCCCCCAACTGTTTTCTAACAATAGAAATCTTACCCAACCTCTCCAATATGCCTTCTCACTAAATTTCTATAAATAGACTATAAGGGACTCTGGTTGATGGCAGAGGAGGAGTGGGCTGAGCCGCCACGGCCCCCCATTTCTAGGCCCCAACACTCCTCAAGAACATCTGAGCAAGGGCTCAAGGCCCCGGCCACAGGAACATGTGTGGCTGTCCCTGTGGCAGGTCCAGGGGCCTGTGGATGCAGACACTGTTCCATCACCTCTCTGGGAAATCAAGCCAAGGGGGCATGTGACTGGACAAGACTAAGAACAACCACCAAAGAACTGACAAAGGACCAGGTGGCCTTCCCTGCCAGTCAGCCTCCTAGAGCTCTGAGCTCTCCGTGGTACAGCTCTCCTGCCCCTGCAGATCTGACCACGGGACAAACAACCGTGCTTCTACGAGGAACGGTCTGCAGCCAACAGCCTCTTCCCTCACACGACCTGCCACTTACTCTGCAAGAAGCAGAGGCAGCTAACTAATGCTTCAGAAAGAAGATAACGCCTCAGCACTATCTGTTCTCAGCCTCATTCCTACTGGGTTCCTGAGTAAGAAAACAAACAGCCAGGAACACACAGGCAAGTGGCAGCCCCTGGAGCTACCCAGCCCAGATACTTGGAGTGCCATCTCCCACTCTTCCTGCAACCTTGCCTTGCGCCACTCTCAGAACATACTTGATAATTCAAATCTGCAAAAACCCTAAGTACCCCTGGGAAAATACTGCAATCTGCCATGCCTGTAAGAAAAAAGAGCCAACAACCTAAGCTTACCCCAAAGGAGAACAGTGGCCACTATATCTCACAGGCTGCAGCCCCTCCAATCCCTTGGGGTCTTACCAATTTTGTTTCCTCTTTGCCACTTGAACGTCACCTTCCTCAAGCCAACATGCATAACATTGTCGTAGGATTTGGGGGTGTCACAAACTTGCCCGATGATATTCTTCCTCCTCATTTCTCGATACCGCTTTTCTTCGAACAATCGCACTGACTTTTGGACGGCTCCCATGGGGCCTTGCTTCGAGGCGGTGTCTGCAGAAGGAGTGGCCAGCTCAGTAGTGGCCCCAGCCACTGACCTCACCCCACTTCCAACAACAGCCGCAGTGACAGAGCAGTACACAGTAGCACCCAGCTACTGCAAGGTTCATCATTACCGAAGTCCTTCGACACAGTGTGAACCATGTGTAGTACAATTTACACAGAACGCTTGAGCTAGTCAGAAAAAAAAAATTTACTGCTGCCCAGACGGGAGCAGGTCAACTGCACTAGCTCCCGCCCTCCTCTCCAATCCTGTCTTCACTTGTCAGAATCATCTCCCAAAACATCAAGTTTGACCATGCTAATTTCCCATGTAAATCTGTTTCTGTTTTCAACTATCTATTAAGCAAAATGCGTAGTCCTTCATGCAAGACGAGACTGCAGAATCTGGATCTGCCTTGTGTGCTGGTTGCCTCTCTGCCTCCCTAGTGCACGTCCTCAGCAGCTGACCCGAGCCTTTGGGTGCGCTTCTGACCTCCCACTCCACTTGCTGGTCGCCCGTTCTCGCCACAGCCCCTTGTGTGGCAGGCAGTCTTACACCACTGAGCTGGGCACATGCTTATCCCTTCTCTGCAAGGGGCCGAGTGGGGCTCTGATGTCAGACTGCCTGGGACCTAACTCGGGCCCCACAGATATTTAAGTGTTCAGCACCACTCAGGTTGACTGACTTCTTTCTCACTATCTTAGATATCATTGCTAAATGAAGATAAGATGACATAATCCTGGGGCTGGAGTGAAAATTTAATGACCTTGGACTTGTATAGCATTTAGCCCGATGTCTGGATCACAGGTTACTCAACAGAGAAGAAGCATTATCACGTGCCAACAGGCTCTGCATGCCCACTGCTCCGACTCGTCTTCCGTGACCTGCCGTCTAAATGCCCTTCACACGCAGATACTGCGAACGCTGCCAGACCCTCGCCCAGGGGGCTGAGGCAGCCTTGTTACACGGCTGATGGCATCACCCAACCTCTACTCCCTGCTCATGCAGAGGTTACTAAGAACTGTCACCCCTGGTTTATACCCTTCTCTGGGACCCCACTTCTCATCCAGTATCCCGATTCGCTACCTAAGAACTTGAATCTTGCAGCAGAAAAAGAAATCCTTGAGAACAAAAATTTCCAAAAATTTGGAATATTTTCATTACAGCTACTTAGCACAATCTTTTTAAGACAAGGATTCCCACTTAGCTTCTCTACTTCGCTAGGTAACACATCCCACCGGATAAGATCATGAACAGCTGTGAGGCCATGGACTCCAAGGTCAAATACTTCCTCCTTTCCACACATCCAAGACTGCTGTGGTTAATACTGCAGTGTGAACTGCAACTCTCCCAAGAGGAACACAGTTCAACAGCTCCTGTGCTTCCTCAAGTGCACAGCGTGCTTTCAAAAACATGATAGAAGCCTGGTGCCCAGGGAGGCCAGTGGTGACACATGTCTGATGGGGTGGAAAGGGGGCATCAACTTCCTGTCGCCAGCCTCAAGCCCAGGAAACCTCCTCAACCTGAACCTGCAAGACAGACCCCATCACTAGCATGTGCACTGTCTTACCACAGGCGGTTCTTACTGCCATTTTCCTTTCCAGACCTCCCTTCGTCCAGCACCTTCCTGTTGATGCTGAGTTGCTGGAACAGCATTCTAACTCATCTCCCGACCTGACCCACATCCAGGCCAGCAGGCAAGTACACTTAACAGGGTCCACCTTATCCCTTCCCTCCACCCCAGCAACAAATCCACACCTTCTGAGCTCGTAAGGGCTACCCAAGGCCTGGTGCAGTAACTTAGCGGCTCAAGTCCTTGCCTGCATGTCCTGGGATCCCATATGGGTGCCAGTTTCTGTCCCAGCTGCCCCACTTCCCATCCAGCTCCCTGCCTGTGATCTGGGAAAGCAGTCAAGGATGACCCAAAACCTTAAGACCCTGCACCCACGTGGGAGACCGGAAGAAGCTCCTGACTCCTGTCTTCAGATAGGCTCAGTTCCAGCCATTGCGGCCACTTGGGAAGTCAATCGGGACGGAAGATCTTCCTCTCTGCCTCTCCTCCTCCCTGTATAACTGACTTTCCAACAGAAATAAATCAATTTTTAAAAAAGAAAAGGGGGGCTATCAAGCAACTCTGGGTGAGGCTTTTAAGGATTCAGCTGCTCACTAAGGGTTGCTCACCCTCTCCTTTTACCCCATCCCCAACTCCGCCTGCATTCACAGCCCACACCATCCAGGGCTGCCCACTGGGCTATGCTACAGTCACGAGGCCGCTAGGTGTTTTTCCCTCAGCTTGCTGGAGACCTGCAAGGGCCAGAACAGTCTCTTCCCTGCAGGAAATCTTCCCTGAATGCTCTGGGGCACGCTCCCAAGAAGCCACACATAAGGACTGTGGTGGGGACAGCACTGAACATGGGCTGTAGTGCTCTGCCATGAACCATGCTGGCCAGGCTATGTGGCCTCTCAGAAGATGCTTCACTATTTTGAAAGGCAAGCAACACCTATTCTTCCTGCTGCTCAAGACTGCTATGGCAAAAATACCCGGAGGCATTTTCTAGATTAAAAAGAGCTAAAACAGAGCTTTTCTATTTGTTCTTTTTGATTACTACCAGTTCCAGATTGTAAGTTCTTTCCTTCAATTTCTTGGCATAAAAATGATTATTTCATGAATCATCACTATATTCCTACCTTGTAAAAATAATTAAATTCAGCTGCTTTAAGAGTAGACTAGTGAGGCTGGTGTGGCAGCACAGGTCATCCCACGTCAGAGAGCCTGGTTTACACTCCCAGCTACACTGCTTCTGCTCCAGCTTCCTGCTTAGGGGCCCACCGGAGGTCACCAGTGATGGCTCGGTGACTCAGCCCTTGCCATCCCTATGGAGAACCTGCATGAACTCAGGGCTCAAGGCCTCAGTCGGGCCTAGTTACAACTGCTGCAGGCATCTGGGGAGCGAGCCAGGAGCTTGGTAGCAGAGTTCTTTCTCTGTCTTTCAAATAAATTAAGTAACTTTTAAAAAATCTCAAATACAATGAAACAAAATACAAATATGAGTAACATTTATGATCCAAGGAGCATTACCTCATCATAAGAAACAAGAAATGTCCAAAAATGTAATAGATGACAGAAATCGATGGCAACGGCAGAAATGAGATTAGCAGATATTAATGCAGAAATCATAACAATTCGGAAGCTACCACCTGCTTTAGCTGAAAGTGGTCACCCTATGCTTCCACATCTCCAGACCCTCACCCCGGGTGCTTACCTTTGGTCTGGCTGATAAGGGTCCGGAGTTCCCAGCTTCTTCGTGCCGACCCACTCGAATCACCCCTAGGGTACGCTGGTTCTGCAAGGAGTGTTTTTTCAGACAAATGAACATTTATGAAATCGCTCTGCTCCTGTGATACGGCAAGGCTAACATGGTGCGAGGCCATGGCTGCCAGCTGCCTGCTGCTCCCAGGAAGATTCTTAACGTGTCTGTTGTGGGCAAGAGAATATGGCTCTACAGTAATTCAAGCCAACTGTGCCAAACCAAGACTCGGCTAGCAGCATCAGAGAACATTAACCGCACTGAACTTTGAGCAGTGACTGGCAAGAGAACTCGCGTAGACCCCAGCTCTCCTGCAGGACAGTCGTAACGGGGCTGCTTCTCACGAAACTTCAGCCCGTCACCAACAAACTTGGATGACACTATTCACAATTTTAAAATGAAAGTTCTCAGCAATGGGAACATCAGGAGTAATTTTTAAAGCAATAGAAGTGGATCTAGAAGATGTAAAGACAGCTCACTGCATTTATACAGCCAACAGCTCAGCACTGCATCCCAGAGCTCGGCTGCTTCCTCTCCACTCCTCAGCGCATTCAGTGGGGACGATGGGCCTGGTCGCAGGGCACCTGCCACCTGCCAACACTCACCATCTCGCTCCTCGGTGGGACTGGAGTGACGACTCAGGGACCTAAACTGCAGCTCTGCAGCTATGGACGCCAAGCGGTCATTTTCAGGGACACTGGAACCCCTGTTTTAATATTTTTAACAATTGAGCTATCAATTCAACAGAAGTCGAAATGAAAGACCCATGAGTCTTCTAGAACTGTGATGCTCCACTGGGGACAATGCTGCCCTCCCCCACCCCACATGGGCAGTGTCTGCAGCCCCTCTAACTATCACAACTTGGGCGAGAGCTGTGGGCATCTGGTGGATGGAAGATCCAGCACAGTGAGCCCACAGCACGAGCTATCCCCCCCCAGAGGCACTGCCCGGGGGGGGGAGTCCCTGTCTGCTAGGAGCATTCCACGTCCACACCTCCGGAGCTAGGACCCAAGACCCAGACTGCCCGCCTCTATAGCACTACATTTGCTAGTAACAACAGACAGGGAAAAAAAGCACTGCTTGTTACTGATATGTGGAAAGCTCCATCATTTAAGCCCAGGAAGAATAAACATGTATTTTGCCAGATCTGGCTAAATTTAAAGTTATCATCCAATTACATTTCTGTCCTTAATTTTATTTAAACTACCAAAACCATTTCATAGCTCAAACTATTTCCAAACTTCATAGTAAGAAAACAGAAGAGAATACTTAGTGATTGCTCCAGAGGCAGCCAAGCAAAGTGCAGCAGAGCAGGAAGCTGAATGTATTAAAGAACCAAGTTAATCAGCTGCCTTTCCAGCAGGAAGTAAGGTGTTGAGCAGCCAGAGTGAACCCATGGAGAGTAAACACTAGCATTAAATAAGGGAAGTGTTAAAACTGTCATTCAAACCATCAAAGAACACAACAAGCAACACTGCATTCGCTTATTAAAAAGTTAGTGTGTATTTTAAATGAATATGGTAGCATTTATGCTCTTTTATTATTATATATTGAATAGGCTGAAGGCAATACGGTCTATTGAATAAAAAGGTGCCCATGAATTATAAAAATGCCTAACCTTCCTTGATTTTCCCTAAAACCCTCAGCTGTGGCACAGTATCTGCTAAATCTGAAGAGAGGGAACACCATGACAGCTAAAAGCTCTGGACATGACTTGATACAAAAGAAACACATGTCACTCCTCGGAACAGCCACAAACTGTGGGGCCCTGGGGATGCCACTCACCACCTCATCTTCCTGACTTCCCAAGAGTTCAACAGCCAACCCTGTGTCCCTCGGGATTCTAGCTGAAGTGACACACCAATGTTGGTAACCAACGTCTGTGATACAGCAACTGGCTTATAAAATTCAAAAACGAACAAGTGGCTCTGGAGCCTGGTGGGAGCCAGGCTCCCTCCAGCAGACAACTGCTAAAATGCTTCTATAAACAGAGATAACAACTTGAGTCCAACGTAGATGTCTCCTAAGTCCAACAAAATCAGTGCGAGCTATTATGGGGCCAAGTGAAAGTGGATTTTGTCTGGGACAGACAGGGCTCTGCACGCACAGTCACAGACCAATGGCTGTGCTGAGAGCGGAGGTTCTCAGCTCCGGGGAGCACCCTCTGGGTCCCGTGAGGAGGGTACCTAAGGCTGCCCCTGCACTGTCTGCGGGACCATGCTCCTTGCACTGCTGCTACGCGTGCTCCTCTGCAGTGCAGAATCCCCAGTCTTCTGTGAACGCGGCCTGCAGCACCGCTGACTGCGTGGAGGTTAACACTCCTGAACATCAAGCACTACACAGGCCCAGATTCAGGACGGACACACACCACATGCTACTCCTGGCAAAGTGTAAGACCAAGTGCACCTAAGGCACACACCGTTAACACAGAACACCTAAGGTCCTAGCTCACGGACTGCCAGAGCGGATGTAATGCTTTCCTCCAGTTCTGCAGCAACCTCAGGTGCACAGACACACAGTGTGCACCGCAGCTGGTCCCCTGCCTGTCCACCTGTGCTTCAGGCAGTCTTTCGCTTTAATTCTATTGCATTTGCAAAAGAGACACTTTCAGTTGCCCAAAGGGATATGCAAATATTTGCCATAAAAGGCTTTATTCATCAAAAGGGTGAGTGGAAATTTCATGCAACATTAACTGTTAATGGTTTTTAGTTGCCTGCTTAAGCTGTGAGAGACTCAACTATCTTTTAAGTTATAGATCTTTATCACTAAAAATTAGAAATATTATTTTAATAAGCAAGACCAGAAATACTTAGATATTTGTCACTGATAACTCTGCAGGTTATCTTCTTGCTAGGCAGTATACTAATATGTTTCCCATGAGCTGAACTCAAGTCCCTTCACGATATGTTTTTGCTCAGTTTGTTCACATTTCAGTCCCTGGACGATCTTGTTGGAAGATGAGAATACTGACAGTGTCCCCTGTACTGAGAGGACGGGACTCGGAGCTCAAAGCATGTCTCCACTGAGTAAATGAGAACTTCATGACATACCCTACCAAGAAGATGACCAGAATGGGACCAGCTCTGTGGTGTCACAGGCGAATCAGATACTTGTTTGAGAACTGGCTGCTCCCTGCTATCACAGCTGAGAGAACAGGAGAACGGTCCAAACTCCTGCCCGCCCCCCACGAAGCAGGACACATGGGTGGAGTTCTGCCTCCTGGCTCGGGCCTGACCCAGCCTTGGGTATTGTAGCCATTTGGGGAGTCAATCAGTGGATGGAAGACCTTTTTCTTGGTCTTTCCATAATTCATCCTTTCAAACAAATCAATCAATCTTACGGGGAAAAAAAAAAGCTACAAGACCTTTCTCCTTTCTTACTTAAAAGGTTTAACTTAGACTTAAATTTTTCTGGAGCTTGCCAAAAGTTGAGGACAGTTCTTTCAAGCAGCCATCTTTCCTCCATGTGATCTACAGACTCTACGAATTCTAATCTGTATTTTCATAAACTGCTTTTCTATTCAGTAACAGGATGTGGTTAGAAAACAGGCCCCCTCAGAAGAGTGCCTCGACACCTGATGTCACCAACTGGAGGCCAACTCTAGAGCACCTGCTCAAGAAAGGGCAGTGACCAGAATGCCCAGACTCCCCTCGTGCACCCCATGATCCTCCTGACAGCCTTTCCCGGGGCTGAGCCCGGCAGAGCCACTGCTCATAGGAAGACCAGCACCAGATCTACTGGTCCTACTTAGTGCCATGGCCAGGGCTGTTTCGAGGACAAGCCTGGTGACCCCGTGACGTGTCTCGAGTAAAGTGGCCGTGGACGGTCACCCAGGGGTGACCAGATGTGGTGCTGCTGGAGGGAGGAGACTACCTGGTATCATGGGCACTGCTGGTGGGTTTGGGCGGTGCACAGTCGCCGCCAGAGGGGCCAAGGCGACTTGTGGCAGCGGTGGCAGCAGCAGGAGCAGCAGCGGGGCCGCCGTGGCTCCGCACCTCCGAAGGCCCGCTCCGGGTGCTAGGACGAGAGGAGAAACTTCAGGAATACAGGTGAGAAAGGGGGTGGACCAGCAAGTGGCTTTGGTTCAAAATAAAATCCTTACCGCAAGGAGGGCGAAACATTTAAAAATATAAAATGCAAACTGTTCTTTGATGGACATTCAGACCAAGGGGCGGGGGACGGTTCTGAAACTTCATAGTAACAGTAGTCCTCACCTCACAGATAGAAGTATGATTTTAAAAGTGAGGACTCTCATCAGCTCAAGACGCAGAAATGCCACCACATTCCAGGCAACAACTGTGAAAGCACCGAGCGGTGTGAGAACCCTTCAGCAGCACACTGCCCTACAGCACACGCACAGGGGCCGAGCCTGGAGAGGCTGGTCCACTACTGAAGGGACAGTCAGCACTGGGCTTTTTCCCCCAACATTTATTATGCACATTGGTGTTTGTTCTGCTAAGGTCATGTTTCAAAGACAGAAAGGGGAAGAACTGATCCAAAGCCAGAAAGCATTTAGTAGCTTGAGGTTACAAATAAGCGGAGAGGCTGGGTTATCTGGAAAGGGACAGGTTTGTTCCCAATGCCACAGCGTTTTCTCCTGGGTTGAAGGTCTCATGGCTGTGGCTCAAAAAAGGGCACGCAAGGGCTCTGCAAGGACCACAAGAAGAAACCCAGAACCAACACTCAGCTCTCAGGGCAAGCACTGAGCATGGGCCTCAGAGGACCCCAGAAGCAGAGGCCTGAGCAGCTCCCAGTACCTGAAGCCCTCCGGCGTCGGGATAATCAGGTGAGGGTTAGGAGGGTCGCTGTGGCACCGAGGCACCTTCACGGGCCGGGGGCTGTTCCGGTGAATGGCTGCCAGGAAGAAGAGCAACACACCGTCAGGGAGGACAGTGAAAGCAGGCCCCTCGCTTAACACTCCCAGTGACCCAAAGAAGCCCAGTCAGGCAAGTAAGGCATTTATTCATACACACAAGATCGTGGGAAATGTTACCTTTTAGCTTAAGAAATCCCTAGCCCCCATTCTATATTCTTCTGTAAGGAAAACACCTTGTAAATCCTAACATGAAACATACAGCATGGATGCTAAATAAAGGTTTCAACTCATTTCAGAGAGAGATGAAAATGTGGTTCGGGGGCACGTGGACAGGACACAAAGGAGAATGGATAGTGCCCTCCCCCAGGACACTTTCTTTTCTCCTTTTACATACTTTAGCAGGAGATAAATTTGGATAAAGGTTAAAATGAAACCCAAAAACATGACAAAATCTGAAATCAAATTTTCAAACTAGATAACTCCACCAGTGATTACAAAAATGCTGAAAATTCCACTTTCTCAATAACTAAATGTATTATATTTTGGCTGCTTCCCTAACACGTTTCTCTCTCCTTTGTTTTAACACTTATTTTTCTGGCTCCTTCTTTCTCCTTCCCACTTCGGTTGATAATTTTAAGACTACAAACAGTTCATCGTAAAGACATTTTATCCTAAGCAGACGCCCTCTTTCTTCACCGTCTTGCTGGCTTCCTTTCAATAACACCACCCAGGAGAGACAGAAGTGTTGCATACACAGCACTCAAGCTCTCTGGCAAAACTCACAAAATAAATCCCATGAGCCATCTACAACAGCTGAAGGCCATCGTGTCTGACTCGTGAGCTCAAGATCACTAGGCTAAGCGGAAAACAACAGTCACAGAGACAAAGTGAGGCGAGGAGCAGGATGACTTCCGCAAAGGCACAAGGAGCTGTGAACAGCTGCTACAGAGGTCTCCATGAAGGTTTACAACCAAGACATGCCATCTTAGAGAACGCTCGTATACAAGGCTGACGTCTACATGCACCAAGCCACCTCCAGAGCATGCAGACTTGGTTGGACAAAACTGTGAGGCTTCCCTCAAAGAAAAGCCAACAGCCAAGAAGCCAAAACCAGATCTTCAAACCTCACAGGTGGTGCACATTTGCCACTGAGAAGCTTGTTGACAGCGGAGGCCCCCAAAGCCCTTGTGGGATGTGCAAGGGAATCAGAGGAATTTCATCTTTCTGCTCAGAAAAAAGATTCGCAGCCAAGAGGATCTTTTGGTTGCACAATAAATGGCAGGAAAACAACCTACACTTGCTGAGTAATTATACAGGCACAGGCCATGGTGGGCTAGAATGAGTTTGTTCCAACTAACGAAGATAAAGAAAGTATGGCACTCCGGGGACCTAATGTATGAGAAGGAAGCAACACAGGTGATATGTTCTTATTTTAATTAACATCTCTTGCAAAAACAAACAAAACATAACAACAAAGCCAACACTGCAGCAGAGGACAGTTCTGTTGTGTAGGTGTTAGGGCTGGGGCGGCTCAGGGATGCTGAGTGAGCAGCCCCTGGCCTGGCAGGCAGGAATCAGAGCAAGTCCATTCTACCCCCAAGGCCAAGGTCGACCCACCAAGAGGGCTTTACTCCCAGCTCTGCAGGGACTTACACAACCAGGGATCACCTCTGTGCTGTGGGACACTGATTGGGACAGCAATTTTTTTCCGTTTATTTCAAAAATCTTTCTAAATTTTCTTTGTTGGGATTCTTCTGTTGAGAAAATTATCCTTACATTTAAAGTATTTTTAAAAGTAATTTTTACTGAATTCTTGTTCGTGCAGTCTTAGAGCAATCTTAGATGAAAAAAATCAAAGTCTATGATAATACACTTTAGCAGAAGTTTAACAGGAATACAGCATGTTTATATAGAATGCTCAAGTAGTTTTGAAAACAGCAACCTGCATTTTCCTAGCAGCAGCAGGAGGAACATGACGCAAGTTTTAAAAGCAAAGAAACCAGTACCTAAAATCTGTTCTACTCAATGTTCTGCAGCTGGTAATCACTGTTTAAGGACAACAGTGATAAATTTACCACTCAGGGATATTCTGGTATATTTTAAATTACACAAAGTAAGCTTTCACTGTAAGCGCCCATCACGTAGACAGCTTGCTTTATTTACAGACAACACCAAGGGCAATCTTATAAAGAGTAAAGCAGGTCATTTTGCTGATACATATTTTTAATAAGTTTCAACATACACAGGAAAGCTGCACACTTAAAAAAATAAAGAAATCAAACTAAGTAAGTGTATAGCAGCTTAAAAAAAAAGCAGCCCTAACTTGGAATTGGCCACAGACGGTGGAGATGTGGGTACTCAGACTGCACAGTCAGTGCAGACCCTTCCTGAGGGGACGAGAGGCCCGGGAATCATGCCAGCTCCCGCACATCAGGAAGCTCCTGCTACCTGGCCGCACAGCCACCTCCTCCGGGATGCCCTCTGCAGAGAGACACTTCAAGGAGAGAGCGTGAAGGTCGTGCCGACACAGAAAAAAATCACAGACGGCTGGTGCAGTATACCTCATGTTGGTATTTTCATCTTCCTGTCCATGAATTTAGAAAGATTATTTGGTGTTTGCCTCATGTATACCTCATGGCTGTTGCTTTCACGTCCAATTTCCTGAACATTCTAAAAACATCTTTTGCAGAACTTTAGAGTGTGCTGCTCACAAGGTGGCTTGCTCATCCACACCAGTACGGTCCACAGGAAATGCTGTAATGTGGTCTTACCAAGGTACAAACCTGTAACAGGACTGTGCGGCTTCCCTATGACGTGGCCAATGCACTCGTTCATCAGAGCTTGTAAACTCTAGAAACCAAACGGACGGAGAATGAAGGTTCCCATTAACGGGATATGTAGCACAAGTTGGCTTACAATATATTTCAAAAGTCAGTTTTTTAGAAAACAGATGCAAACATAAATTAAACATGGAATATACATAATTTTCAGGAATATACTCCTTAATCCCATTTTATTTTATACATAAGAAAAAATGCACAGTCGACTCCCCGGTGAGCAATGAAGTGCACAAGCAAAGGGCCTTTCATGTAATTTGCTGTACCACTGGGCAATGGCAGGGAGCAGCTCCAGCACCCATGGACCTGACGCAATCCAGCAGAATTCAACAGTTACACAGGCATTATGCTGCAACGTGAGACAGCCAAAGCTCGTGTCTCTTTGGATTGTCAAAACAAACCAACAAGGCAGTTTATAAAAGTAGCAAGTTTTTCACGAGTGCCAGGGTTTACAAACAACTAGGCACTGACTTGGGCACAGGAACACAGATGTTTTTTATTAAAAAAAGGAAGACAGCAAAAGGAATTAAGAGAACTTTAACTTCTCAGTATTAGCATGATAACGACATTAAAAATATCTAAGAGCCATTATTACATAGTTTAAAAAAACACATAACCAGGGAAGAGGCTGGGTTGTTTGTTTGCAATGAAAAGCATTTCAGGGCATTCATACCAGGAAGTCATCTTCTGGCAAAGCTGAAATAAAGGCAGGTTCAATGGCTTGGAGAAAATCAAATCCTTGAGTGGCCCACCTGTGACAGGACAACAGTCAGTAGTCACAAACCGCCTGCAACATGCCAAGGTGGAAAGTCATCTCACTGGATAAACATGGCTTTTGGTTTCACTTAAGTGACCTGAGTAAATTTATCACGCAACCATTCGGAAAGGAGGACTAACATGCTTCCCTGTTTTGCAGCCCTCAGGGGCTACCCAGGAGTCAGGTGCCGTTTGTACTTCAGCAATTACACAAGCTATGTAAGGAAAAGCTCCACCCAAACCTACGTGTTCCTAACGTGGAAAGAGGCAGAGTGCCCTGGAAGCACCAATCAGAGCACATGCTCTCACCCAGGCACCAGCCCTCAGGGCTGCTGCAGGATAGGCTCACTCCAGGGCTCACAGGGCAAACTCCAAGGGCTGCTGAACAAACACGCTGCTCATCCTTTTACTTCTCCTTTACACCAAGGCACAGGCTTCAGTCCCACAGGGGAGGCACTGAGGCTGGACCTCAGGACTGGGAGAAGGTGGATTCTCTGTGAGGAAACTCAGCCACGCCACAGCAGACGGAGCTGCTACCAGCCATTCCTGGTCTCGGTATAAGAGCGCTGGGTCAAGGCTCAGCTGCTCCTCTGCAGAGCCAGCTTCCTGCCAACGTGCCTGGCAGACAGCAGATGGCAGACTGCATGCCAGATCCTGGCCAGCCACATGCGAGACCCAGGAGCATTTTGGACTCCTGGCTTCATTCAGCCTGGTCAAGCCCTAGCCATTAGGGGCATCTGGAGGTCGAAACAACACATAGAAGATTTTCTCTCTCTCTCTCTCCTCTCTCTCTCTCTTTCTTCCTCTCCCTTCTGCTCTCTTATTCTTTGTTGCTGTGCTTTTCAAATACACGAAAACAAATTTTTTTTTTAAAGGTAACTCAATTTGGAACAAATTACTTAAAGTTTTGTAATTAAGGGATTTTCAGGTATACCTATGTATTTAATTAAACTAGTCAAAGAATTTACAGTATTCCTTTACATGTGATCTGCTGAAAATCAAATTTAGCATACAGAAAGAAAAGCCCTCCAAACCCAGGTGACTTGGCTGGACGCATCCCGCTCGGGCATTACCTTGGCCTGGTGCCTCTGCCACTCTCACACTTAGTCAATACGTAATTCATCCACTTCCGGGCAAAGCTTATGTATTTGTCTCCTATTTTCTGTCTAAACTCTCCAGACATCAGCCGGACAACTTCTTTATGATACTGTAAAAAGATTTCATGAATATCAAAATGAAAATGAAAATCATCAGTTATTCCTACATGTGATCTTAAATGTCAAGTTCTAAACAAAGCACAGAACACAACATCGAATCGTGTAAAATTCGTAACAAGGAATCTTCAAAACAGTCACAGAAAATGCACAGTATATTAAAACGTTTTTTGCACCCAAAATAAACTCATGCCAACTTATCCTAAAGTGCCTGGACAGGATCTGGCACGCAGTGCCAAGAAGGATTAAGATAACATTTTGAAAACAGCCCTAAGCACAACAATGTGAATTCTGCTGAAAGTGAAGCAAGAACAAACATTAAAATTATGGTTAATCTTGAGCTTAAAAAAAACAAAGCAAAACAAAAAACCAAAAGCACAAATGGGGCAATCGTTGAAGCTTTGTGAAAAGCAGATGCGGACAATGTGCCACAGAGCTCAGCAGTCCGCACACTCTTTATGAAGGGATGAGCTCCGGTGCAAGAGGAGAGACTCATCCTGCCCGCATCACAACTGCAGAGGGCCAATGTTTACAGCAGAAACAGGAGCCCACACCACAGGCCTGTCAAGTCCTACAGAAACAGAAATCTGGAGTGGAACACTGCTCAACAGAGCCAAAACTGCCCTGCCAGGTGGGCTGCAGGCCAACACAGAGCTTCCAGTGTGCCTGGCCCGAGACCCGGCACAGATGTAACACAGCTTTCGCAGTCTGAGCCTGAACTCAAAGCCAGACAGAGACAGCGTAGGCCCAGCCAGAGCAGAGCACAGTGCAGGGCTGGACAGCAGCTCCCTGAGAAGCGTGGGGATTCTATGGGTGGACACTCGGAGGGACAAACATGACCACCCAGGCTCATTAGGAGGGCATTTCAAGAGGCCAGACAAGCCTTGAGGCTTCCCCAGGAGGCCTCTTGCCCACAGCAGCGTCTGTGCACGGCCAGAGTCCTAACAGGAAATCAGGCAGCGTCCGCCCTGCAGCCCTGATTTGGCTCTTTCTCAATTTTTGCTTCCTAATCCTAAGAATCTCAAAAAAGCAACCACACAGACATGGCTAAATTCTAGGACCCTCAGTTGTTCAGGGAAGGACTAAAGGACTGGCATCCATCAGTTACAAAGAGATCTTCAACCTGATGGAGCTTATGTTAAAAAACAAGCTTCTGTTTTTACTTTTTCATTCTATTTTCCATGAACTCTTTGACATCCCCCCATATAATCCAAACAGTGTAAAGACTGATGGAGAACGCGATATCTCAAAATGCAGTTTCATAAATATTTTTTGTCAAGCTTAAAGATTAACAATACATTTTTATATCAAACATTCTTTTTTAAAAGTTTTAAAATATAAGACACAGGTTTTAGTGCAAACTAAGAAGTGGGCAACTACCTGACAGTTCAAACATTTCGGATATTCAGGAGTGGGATGGGAGACATTCGTGAGCAAGCTGTGGTTACAGTTAACACAGTTCCCTGGGGGATTTCTAACACTCCTCTGCACATCGGCTGCAGAGCAGGCGCCGGCGCACTGCTCCCCCTCTCACTCTGCCTACCTCAAAGCCAAAGTTGTAGCCCTGGATCATGGCTTCCCGGTAGTACTGCTGCAGCGTGGCGGACTCACACTCATCGACTTCAGCATCAAATTCTGACGTGAACATGTGATCCACACGGTCAATGGCGTTGCTTATTTGGTTGCACAGCTCTAAGGCGTCGTTCTGAGGAGTGTCAAACCATGGTTAATCCAAAAGGCTGCAGATCACACAACACTCACACATGAAAGAGAAAGGCCATTAGGCCACTGCAAGGAATATCTGCCACATTTAGCTATCAAAAGGAATGACTGAGTAAATTCTGTTATTTTCATTTTTACTTGTCCTGATACTCTTCAGCTCCTTATGAAATTACAAGAGGAAAAAACCCATTTAAAACAGTATCACCAAGGAATGGCCTGGTCTTGCAGTGAACACTGCTGTGTTCAGCCTTGACGTCAACCTCCAGAGATTCTTGGCATAGCTTGGAATTCACTCAGATGAAGGACTGGCATCCACTGGCCACAGTGGAAAGAGAACTGGGATGAAGCTGAATGGCCTCCAACGCACAGGACAGGCCGCACAGGACAGGCCACACAGCCCAAAATGACAACCAAAAGTGTCAATGGTTTAGAGAATGACAACCTGCTTCCTTCCACAGATCCTGAAATATACCTGAGCATACATGCTCTCATCAGGAAATGCCTTATGTACTGTGATAATATCTTCCACACCTGACACCTTGTAGCTTGGAAAACAAGATCTGGACTTAGCCCACCTCGCATGTGGCCACACCTCCTGCTACCTTTGCAGGCCACCCCTGTGGGCTGTGTGATGCTCAGGAAGAAAGCCCAGAACCTGGAACTGCGGCCATCCATGTCCAAACGTGCCTTTATTGATCCCTGTCCAGTCTGCATCCCTGGAGATCCTCCCGTTGGTACTTCAGCAGGGGTAACTTGGGGGCTCAGGATTCTGTACTCCTTCAGCTCAAGAATAATCCATATCATAACTAATCCTGAACTCTCTGGATGTCATCAGCTCAAACTAAAGACAAGACTACCTTGCTCTGGGATTAGGGTGGAACTACACTCTGTAACAGAGATAAGCAGCTTGCTACTGTTTCTGGATTAACAACAACCACCTATCAACATCTTAAAATTCCATGGAGCTCTTCTTCAGGATGCTAAGCCCACTGTGACTGACATGGCAGACAGTCTCGGAGGGCATGAATGGGGCCAAGATTGAGAAATGGACACAGTACTGAAAGGAGAAAAACAGAAAATAATAGGAGAGAATGTGAGGCTTTGGCTTGCTATAAATTCTAAAAGCCTTTGTGCCTGTCTACAACTGTTTTGTTCTGATGACTCACTTTACAGAATTAGCTCAAAAGAAATAATCTGATGTACACTGTTGAAATCAGCAATCTTAAATCAATATGAACACAGGTCACTGAGGAAGGAGAAAGTCACATCAGAAATGAAGAGACCTGATTCCACTGTCAGCTCTGTTGCTAACTACCTTGTGTGCAGGATGACACCACCCACTGCCCAGCTTCCTACCCTCCCCAGCCCCGAAGCTGCAGAGCCTGAGAGGGGTCCACGAGAGTTCAGGGACCAGAAGTGACCAGTGTGTGGTGAGGAGTGGGATGGGTGAGGTGCTCTCCCAAGAGCTCTGGCTCCTTGAAGGATAGCAGACCACCCTGAGCCCAGGCAGCACCACATCCCAGGCGGAGAGCAAAGTACCCTGTCCCCAGCCAGCACCACGTGCAGGTAGGATTGCAGAGCACCCTGTCCCCAGGCAGCACCACGCCCAGGTAGGATGGCAGAGCACCCTGTCCCCCGGCAGCACCACGTCCAGGTAGGATGGCTGGTTCAGCACAGTACCTTCAGCTGCTGCAGGGCTTTAGCAATGATGGGCTGACTGGAGGTCTGCTCCTGGCGAAGGGTCATGAGCCCTTCAATGGCCTGCTGGAAGGCTTTTCTCTGAATTGTGAGATGGGCCGACTGCATGACAACCAGCAGAAGGTGATCCACCTGCAAGGACAGTCAAACACGGGTCATGAAATCACACCCACTGCTCCCTAGTTCAGCCAACCTCAAGGCTACCAGGTAAAGCACTGCAGTGGGCACCGGCACTTCCATCTTCAGCAGTGTGAAACATCCCCATACTGCCCTGCAGCCAAAGCATCTCGGAAACACCCCAGAACTTAATACTGTGGGAGCCACAGGTGTGTGTGCAACGTCCGGAAGGGAAAGGCAGGAAAGACAGCAATAGGATCCAATGAAGGACTCTGCTAAGAAACGGAAACTGTATTCTTTATCCTTTAAGAGAGAGAGCACCACGGTGTTTGAGTAGATGGGCAACGTGATCAAATGTACATGGGATAATCACACTAGAACTACCAAAAACAGAAATACAGAGCTGGAGAGAGGGAGAGGACGGGCTTGAAGCTGGGAAACTCTACGTCACTGCACAGCTCAGGGAAGGGCAGTGCAGACTCCAGCAACCATTCATGCCCTCATGATCTGCAATGAAGTATCTGCAGGAAAAGCTGCCAGCCTCCCGGGACGAGTGGCTAACTGAAGGGTGGTGGCTGGATTTCTATCAACTGTCACACTGCTGGTCTCCACATGCAAGTGCACATTCTGTCATCTACATAACCTGTCCTAGGATCCTGGGGTCCCTGGCGGGTAAGAAAGGTATGATAGCCTACTATAAAAAAATGAAACCCATCAAATAACCACAATCCACAGCCCCTGGGGAACCCTGGGATTCAGCAACAACAAATTCCATTAGTAAGACATCTGCTTTTTGTTAATGCATCTATACATGTACTTACATGTCTGGACTAAGAACTGGTGTAAGTAAAATATATGCTTTATTTTAAACATTTCTGTATAACTTTATACCTTGAGCGGAATGAGCTGGAAATGTACCTATTAAAACACTGAAGGGAAGTTCATGTCTGAGTTACTCCAGCTATCAAGCCAATCACCCATGAGCTGCTTCCAGCTCACAGTGGCTGAAAGCATTTTAAGTGGTAAGATGAAAGGCGGGTCTTGGGAGGGAGACTCACCTGCATGCTTCTCAGGGTATCAACTGTCTCCACCTGGGGCGCAACTTTGACTGGCTGCGCCTCCCACCCGCCCCAGCCATCCTGAGAGGCGTGGACCCGGGTGCTCTGCTTGGCAAGCAGCAGATGGGCATCGAGCAGTGAGTCATCCGAGTCCTTGGAGCAGTCCTTCCCAGCTGCAGCATTCAGCAGCTGCAAGATTGTACTCTTCTCTTCGGCCAGCGCATCTGGAACAAACACCTGCAAGCTTTCCAATCCGGGAATCTGTACCTGGAGAAGAAATAACCCAAAATGTTACATTAGGCACACTGTCCATGAGGGAGACGAGTCCCCCCAAAATGCCAAGTCTCAGGAGAAGGCACAGTCAAGGAAGCAGCTTTGTGCCCCAGGAGGTGGCATAAGTCAGTGGGCTGAGTGGGCAGAGGCCCTAGCAGCTGCTCCAAGCACAGGGAAGCTCACTCACCATTTTATGTTCAACAACCAGAAAATTCCTCTGAGGGGTGAAACCATGTCCCTGACACCTGCCCCGGCACAGAGGCAAAAGGTGGTATGAGGGGTTCACTCCCCCTCCCAGGGACAGGCACCACAGCAAGTCTCTGGAAGTCATACCCTTGGGATAACATTTCCACACACAACATCACGCACTGCAAAGGCCTGAAGTCCACAGCCCACAGGGCACAAAGACAGTGACTGGGAAAGAGGCTGCTGACGCCAGAAGCGTGAAAACGAAAAACAACCAAAACCTAAAATATGATCCTCTTGCACATATTACTTAAAATATGTAAATCTAAATTAATCAATTAAATGGAATGAGCAAATGCTTGATTACATTATCTGCATTCTTAAGACAAGTGAGTAAGTACATAAAAACTTGTTTTTCCAATGATTTCACTGAAAAGGCTATGGGACCTTCCTGCGTGAATTATTTACTACCTGGACCTTGAAGAAAAAGCTTGTTCCAGAATCCAGTAGGGAAGGCCAAACCATTCAGCTCCTCCATCGTAATGATTACCTTCACATACTGCTTTGACTTCAGAACGTCCAGGAGGTCTCTCACTGGAGCTGCAAGAACAAATTCTGCTGCTATTTCCAGGTCCTAGGATCACAGAGGAACTCCATTAGGGTTAGTTTTCTTAGGACGGCAAGGACAATAACAACAATGATAAACTAAAAGAAACAGCTGAGATCTGCAGACTCACCTTCCTCAGCATTTTGGCAAAGCCCAGGGCCTTCGAGGCTCGCTCCCTGGCTTCGTGAAAGAGCTCCTTCAGTGCCCGGCTGATCTCGATCACAGACCTCCTGCCAAGAGCAACGAAGATGGGGGGAACGCAGACGGTCGTCACCACCAGAGATGCAAACACACTGACCAATGAACATGCAGCAAAGCAGTGGGAGCAGCCAGCTGCTGAGAATGCACTCGGGATACCCGAGCTGACTGCTGACTGGCAGTGCTGTGCTAAGTGCTTCTGTCTAGCAGCCATCAAACAGCAAGTAGTATGTCCGGTTTTCTAAAGCTTCTCAGGGGTCAAGGTAATTCACTGACTCTCAGCTTATAGTCAAGTCTACACTCCCCAAAAAGAAGGTCTCTAGTGAGACATACCACCATCTGGGCTGCCCACATGCCCATCACAGCCCACCTGGAGGTAGCAGTGAGACACCACTGATCCAAGACGTGGGGAGAGGAGAGCTCAGTCAGCCCCACGCCACACTGTGTGACCTTACCTTCTAGATCCACCCCTCACAAACACAGGAGCCACACCACAGCCACTGCCTGGACCACGACACTAGGTGTGTGTAATCTAGACCCATGGGTTTATTCAGCACCACAGCCACTGCCTGGACCATGACACTAGGTGTGTGTCTAGACCCATGGGTTTATTTAGATTGGCTCTCAAAACAGCAAGACCTGAAAACAGAATCATTCTGTTACTTACTATCGCTACCTTCTTTCTTGAACTCTGTGCTCCAGGGGTTCTAAAACCCACACTTCAGAGGGTCAGAGGGCACCTTTTAGTTCTAGGCATCTGCAGTATCACATGATACTGCTGATATGTGGCCCCCAATCGGCCGTATGGCTGATGCACATACAATGCCACAACAAAACCAGCTGCATAGGATGCAGCCTGAATAGCGTCAGTGCAGCAGTGGAAAAACTCAGGTGAGCAAGACATGCTCTGACACACTTAAAGTTCAGTACAAGGAATAAGCTAACTAGAAAAACAAAAAAATAACATCATGATCATTAAACTGCTCTAATGGACTACTTGCCACATAGGTTTTAGAGGACAGAAACACAGTAATTGAAAACTTTGCAGAAATCAGGGAAGAAGGTAATTGCACTCATTTTTAGCTAACTCTTCTCTAAAGGCACTATTTTGATCATACTGAAGAGATTCTTTCAAATTTCATAGAAAATTATTAAGTTTAAAAATCAAATGGAAAAAACAACATGGTAATAAATAAATTCTTCCAATCCAACATAATTTGGACTGAACAAGTTCCACTCTAGACTCACTGCCAAGAGCAGCCCCCCATGAGGGAAGGAATACCAGGGGAAGCCAAGTGCAGACCCCACCTTATTTCATCAGAGGCACTGCTGTCATCTGCACTGGTCCAAAATTCAGCGCAGCTCTCCTGCAGGCCGAACTCCAAGAAGCCCCCTGTGGATTTCAGCAGCATTCCCGCAATGTCACTAGGGAAACAGCAATAACACAAATAAAACAAAGAAAAACTCCTTCCTCACACCAATTCTAGAATGCGGCAGAGTTTTAAAATCAACAACAGTGGGAATTTCCCTTGCCTTTCTTGTAATATCATAGTTAACGTGAAAAACAAAATCGAAATCTGGACTGTGGCCAGTGCCTGTGTGTCCCATTACCACAGTATTTCATTAAAACTTTAGAATTTTAAATTCTACTCATAGTAGCTCTGTGATTTTTATGCAAATGTCATTTCCACTTTACATAAATGTTCAAAATGGTATAAATTGTCCTTATATAAATGATAGGACAAGAAAACAAAGGAATTCCTTAAATGCAACTTTTTTAGAATTTCCCTTACAATTATTTTTTAGAGTCAGTAAGAATGAAATACCCTCTGTAGCCGATTCTTCTCAACAGACACACCATCTAAACCCTGGTACATAAACATACAACCCAATGTATGAGTCTACACAGACACAAGTTCCATAGCGCTCTTCTGGCCCCTCTGATCAAGGCAAGGCACTCCGGATCCAGTGCGACAGCACACACTGAGCGGGCGCAGCTCTGTACACGACCAGGTGCAGAGGGCGGTCCCAGGGACTGCCATCAGAGGCTAGCAGACCAGATAAAGGCCCCTCACACCCAGCGAAGGGCACCCATGGCCAGAAAGCCCAGGGAACACAGGCAGAATTTAAACAGGAGAACAGAGGAGGGGCCCAGCAGCCAAGAAACACAGAGGGGAGGGAAGCCCAGGAAGAACACCAACTACGACTCAGAGGCACAAAGATGAGCCAGTCAAAACTCAAGTCCATTCAAAGAGAACAGATCCCATCTGAAATGAGTTGAGGGTATGCCCACCACAACCCGGAGAGTCAACCAAGGCCTCAGATGCCCACTGCTCAGCTGACTCTTTGGCTAGCAAGAAGGTGGGATTTAAAATGAGGGGCAATGGCCGAAGCAGAAATATGCTTTCCAGAACAGTAGACAGGAAGATCCAGAGTACAGTTATTGAACAGATACTGAGAACTTGCCATGTGCTAAGGGACAGTGAACAAAATGGCAGAGGAAAACAGCTGCAATTTCAGATGATGGTAAGTACTCTGAGGCCAAACAAAAGCCAAGGAGTGTTTGTGGGTAGCAATTTCTCTTTTAAGTTTATTGAGACAGTAACATCTGAAAGGACCCTGAGGAAGTGAGGAACTGAGTTATGTTGACACCTGGGGAAAGAGCGGCCCAGGGAGAGGGACCGGCAGTGCACAAAGCCTGGGCACCCAGCAAGGAAGGACACGGCTCCAGAGCAGACCCAGGAGGATCCCCAGATGAGGTCAGAGTCCGTGCAGTCCAATGGTGGAAGATCTGGGCAGAGGGGCAACAAGGAGTGGGGAGCATCTGTCAGGCCCTGGGCACACTGAACCACCAGTGGCATGTGACAGCCAAGATGCCAGGCTGGGTTCAGTTCCAACACGGCCGAGCTGGGGGAGGCAGTCCCCAGAGCAGCAGGTGTGAGTCTGGCCCAGCAGAGCCCCATGAGCGAGTTCCATGAGCGAACCTCACAGTGAGCCCACGAGTTCCGGGGAACAGCAGAAGCGAAGCACAGAAGAATACAGTGATGCAGATCAACAGGGGGAAGTGAGGCTGTAGGAGTCACAGACCTCAGAGCTGCAGGGAAACCCATGGGCAGGAAACAGACAATGCAAACCAGCAATTCTAGGCAAAAAGAAGTTATGGAAGATAAGGAGGGGAGGAAGACTGAAAATGTGAACACACATATTTTTTAAAAGGCTAACCAGGAACCAGGAAGAGGCAAGTCAAGACAGTCAGCTTGGGAACTGCCACAGCCTGGGAACCAGGAGCCTGAAACAAGAGCAGGTGCACTGCTCACCCAAAAGCCAGGACAATGCAAACTGGCTAGCAGAGGGCAGAGAAGCTGATGCCCAATTCTGAGATCTGGCATGGGACCGGCTAATAAGGACAAAAACAATGAGCCATCCAAGTGAAAAGAGCAGAAGTCCTGAAGTACACTGCAAGACACTGCGCTGGGTAGACAGCCTGACAAAAAGGAGGCAGAGGAACTAGAACGGCTGATGAGACTATGGGACAGCCTCGGGGCACAAGAGGGGCCAGGCACACATTACAGCAAGGCAGTGCTGTGGAGGCCACGGCAAGGAGCCCTGAGCACCACCTAGGGTCCCTGAACTCAGGAGCCCACACCCTTTTCCTAAACAGGGTCTGCACTGCTGCCCTCTCACTGTGGATAAACCCAGCTCATCAACTTAGCCAGGGGCTGCGCATGCCCCAAACATCAGTTCAACAGTAACTGAAACCCACAGGTCTACTCAACTTCACATGCACTTCCAATTTTTCTTTTCATTAATAAAAGAAAACAGGAGTGTTAAACCTAAAACAGTTTCCCAGGCACAAACGTAACCTTTGTGGGGTGAAGGGGATTGTCCTGGCCTCTAGCTGCTGGGTGCTGGTAGCCCTTTCTCTGTCGTGACACCGAGAAGTGCCATCCAGGGACACAACCACCCCACTTGGGAACTGCTTCTCAAAACCCGGAAGCGGGGCTCAGGGCAGAGGGAATGACCTCTGTCTGCACCCCTGGACGCTGCAGGGTGCTGAGAGCACCCAGGGCCCTGGGGAGCAGGCCAGGAGGGGGCTGCTGCGGAGGTGTGAGGTCCCTACCAGAAGAGTTTGCCAGCCTGCGCCTCTCCTCCGCGGATGTAGGGAGTGATCTCCTTGGTGAAGTTCCATTCTTCTTCCAACAGATTTTTTAGACTATGGGAAGCTTGAGGTAACTGCTGTAGCATTTGGATCCAGCTTCTCATGTAATCAAAATATACCTTAGAATTAAAAACAAAAGTTACAAAGGAAGACATTTGAGAGTAGAGTTCAGCAACTCCCCATGTTCACCTCTGATGACAGGAGAGCTAAAAACCAGAAAAGCGAGACGGGAGACAGCTGTCAAGAGCAGGCAACACAGAGAGGCAGGTCTCTTCATCACTGTCAGCCAGTGTGTCATTTTAAATTGCATAGCTTTCCATCAAGTCAACATATTACTCACAATCCCTTAAATCTCAAAGAAAATAACAAAAATGTTCATAATACACAGAAAAGTACAATCAAATAAAAAAAGAGCACCTGGAAATTGTCATGACTATGCAGTGAGACACAGGTTGTGAACACTGTTCCTGTCTCGTTAGGGTCACTGCTGGAAAGAGCATCCCACCTGCTGGGAACAGCGGTGAGCACACCTCTCCTGGAGACTTGGGGTGTGGACGCTGGGACCCACACTCAGAACCTGGAGGTTCTGAACGGGGACTGATCCACCACAAGCCTGTCACTACAGCCCTCTGAGTCTCTGTTCTGGCCTTGATCAATGGATTGGTCCTTCTGGAGACGGCCCTGTCCAGGCCTCTCCCTGACCATGAGGCCTGCCTGGGGAGGTGGCACCAGGGCCACAGCCCCTCTCCCAGGCCTGGCTGAGGACATCTGCCCCTCAGCCGCACCATACCGGAGTATCTTCAGCTTCTCCACCCTCAGGTCCCACTTTCCTCACCTGGCTCCATCTTACAGCTCATGAGTGCCAGTCATTTCTTTTCTACAATCCAGTAATAATTTCCAGCAATAACAGCACTCCAGTTATTCCCTTAGTTCAAGAACGCTTCAGCTGTCTTCGTGCTGTGGGTCCTTCAGCCTCAGGCTACTGGCAATGGATCTGCAGCCGTGGCACTGACAACCAGAGCTGAGTGTGGGACATCGGTACTCGTGGTCTCCCACCACAAGGCCCAGCTGAAGCAGACTCTTCAGTGCCGGGTGCCTGCTGTCCTTTCACCCACCTGGGGTCCCCCATCTCCCCAACAACCCTGTCCAGGCAAAGTTCTGACCTTCACATATGCCCACTAGCTGCAGAGTCAGCATCGTCTTGCTTCTCATTGCTGCCAAGCCACTCCTGCATCTTCTTACTTTAAAACCAATGCTCGGGCCCAGCGGTGAGGCCTAACGGCTCAGTGTCTAAATGCTCACCTTCGCACACACCCATATGGATGCCAGTTCTAACCCCAGTTGCTCCACTTCCCATCCAGCTCCCTGCTTGTGGCCTGGGAAAACAGTAGAGGATGGTCCAGGACCTTGGGTCCCTGCACCCGTGTAGGAGACCTGGAAGAAGTTCCTGGATCTTGGTTTTGGATTGGCATAGCACCGGCCATTGCACTCACTTGCAGAATGAATCATCGGACAGAAGATCTTCCTCTCTGTCTCTCCTTCTCTCTGTATATCTGCCTTTCCAATAAAAATAAAATAAATCTTAAAAAAAAAAAAAAACAATGCTCAACCCTGCCCCTTAAAATGCACGCCAAAGATTGTCGCCAAGCCTTTCTTCATGAGGTCATCTACTGAATTCAATTTCCCATCAGGCTTTAGACCTCACTTGTCAGGCTCCAGTCTGCCAATGATGTTCCTTGTCCCAGGATCGGCCAGCTTCATATGGGTGCCTACCAAACAGTCCATCTCACTGCCTCCATCACAGGCAAACGCTCCTCCACTTCGGGCAGGGTCCCATCTCTTACCTCGGCATCCATCACCACCCTTGTTCCCACAACTGCCCCCTCCCCTCCAGCCAGCAGCTCAACCACAGCCACAGGCCAAACTTCAGCTGGACAAACCCACTGACTCCTCGGTTTTCCCCTGCCTGAGGTCCACTGCAACCCCACAGGCTTACCCTCACAGCAGCACTTCTGCCAGCACAAGGAGGCCGGTCCCCAGCCCACTGCGCTGGCAGCCTCGCAGCTCAGGGACCACCCTACCCTGTGCCCACACTACAGGTACTCAAAGTCACCCCAACATGGGTGTGTGTGTTCCGGGGGCCACCGGAGTGCTCCTGTCCCACTCCCTCTACTTCCCTACTCACTGAACCCACACACCCCTCATCCACTCACAATGGACAGAGGCCTCCCATTTTCCTGACCCCCGCCCCACACCCAGTGCCACACCAAGGGGCTGCATTTCTCACGCCCAGTTCCCACGTGACCTAAGGCGCAGCTCCCTCACTGTGGATTTCCTTCTTTGTAAAGCCAGTCGCCAGCTCACAGAGCAGGTCAGGCCCACTCACACCACTGCCCTTCCCCCTGCACCTGGCAGTCATTCTCAATGCCTCTCCCATGCCCAACCAGGGCAAATCCCGCCCATATCACTTCTTAACCTGGGGAATCCCACTCTTCTGTCTGAGCACCTGTACACCTCTCAGAGCTTCTGGAGCTCCAACAAGCTGCCTCTAAGGCCAGTCCTGGCCCCATGGCCATCTCCCCCTCACCCTGTGCCCTGCTCCTCCTCCCTACACAGGCGGCAGGGCACCTGCCTCCACTGTCAGAAATGGTTTCTCTTCATTTTTCTCTTTTTTAGGTTACAAAGCAAAGAGCCTCAAGAAAATCCACAAACATTATACAGAATGAGCATACGTTAAGTGATATTCTGCCATTCTTGCTTTGGGTAAAACCTGAGTAGCACACAGGAACAGAACTCGTATCCCTTTCCACTTCTCTTCCTTCCCTCCCCAGACCCAACTGGGACCAGGAATTTGGCATACTTCCATCCTCTGTGCTCTGCAACAGTCTCTAAGCTACCACACACACATGAACTTGCAGAGAAATGCCAGGGCCCTTCCCCAGAGCAGCCTACACAGGCCAACGAGCCTGGCAGCCTCATTGGTCAGGACATCACGCTGCCATCACATGGCAGCCACGTCCCACCTGGGACTCCCTGACGGCACCCAGCAAATGCCATGCAGTGGACCCTGGTGCTAGGCGCAGCCAGCTTCCTCTGCGGGCGCAGAGCCCACGCCTGCGTGGCACTCAGGTGTCTCCACCGTCAGCTGTCTTGCTCAGCACTGCTGTTCCTTTCCAGTGGCTTCCTGTCTGTTCCCACATCACACACTGCCTGCGACTGTCGTGGTTACTTCTGAAACAGGCGCAGGGATACATGAGTGCTCACAACAAGGTCTGATGCCTCACACACCCGAGGTTCCTGCTCTGCAGTGCAGCGGCCACCCCAACAGGGGTCAAGGTCCTCAGCCAGGCTTTCTCACCCACAGGATCACCCAGAACGGCTGCCCCTCGGCAGCTCTCGCTGCTGCCTCCCACAAGGACAGCCTCCGCTCCTCCTGCCCCTGCCCCTCTCCTCAGAAACTCCAGGATGAGCCTGGCTGCAAAGTGGGAGTATGGAGTGCTCAGACCACTCACTCAAGGCTGCAATTCCAGCTGTTCCCTGGATATTCACTCCAACAGAATCTCAATTTGGGGAGACTGCTGTGGCCACTTCTCTTTTTCTGAACATGGAATTTCTCTCTCTCTCTTTTTTTTTTTTTTTTTTTGGTTTCTCTTCTTGCTGGATTTCACATAAAGGGTGCACGGCAAACATTATTTGATTGGTGGCTCAACAGCCTACTTCCTTTCCTTCCTAACAGAAATGTAGATCACAGGGCACACCAGTCTGCTCACCTGTGACATTACAGAGCAAAGCTCAGGCAGGCACCTACCAGCACAGCCAGGACCAAACTCTAGGCACGGCTGAGAGAAAACACCGAACGTGGGTGGTCCACGTAGTCCAGGCTTCCAACACCGCACAGGTGCATCAGTGTGCGCAAACCAGATGAGCAGGAAGGCACACTTCCCCAGCCTGGTGCTCCTCACCCTCCGGCTACCAACCTCAAGAGACAAGGCACTCGGGGCACCCGTGGGAGGCCTTGGAAGGCAGTCCGGGAAGCAAAGTCCCGCCACCTTTCTAAACTTCTGACTTAGTTATCAGCAGAAAGAAAACAAGACAGTAACTTACTTGTTGCATTTTAAGATAACTTTTCAATAACAAAGACTTTTCTGACATGCAAACTGCCGCACTGTGTACACCCTGATCTTTTACACGTTCTCCATAAACATGAGAAAGTAATCTCTAGCTCATGAAAAGCATTTTTGGAAAATGCCAGTCCTGCCAGTCCCACTTCCGCGAGGCAGGCCAGAGAGCCAAACGGCGGATTCCTAGCCTCAGCAAAGGCAGTAAAGCGGACAACAGGTCCCTTGACCGGGTGCAAGGCATCTGCTGAGTGAGGCAATGTATGCTGTTCCAATAAAAAGGTGTGGACTCAGCCAGCAGCATCTCCCCCAGCCCAGGAAGAGGACCGGCTCAGGAGGTGCTGCAACAAGGGAAAGGTCAAGGTCGGATGGCGGTATCCACTGAAGAAAGCATCCTCGGACACTGTCATTTTCTCCACCATTTCTCCAAAGGGGCACATGACATGATCACCTGTGCGTCTCCCCTAAGGACGCACTGTGTGCTTACGACCTTGGAGCACTACCAGCCCCAGCCCTGGGACAGGCCTTCCTTGTGTGTTTCCAATTGAATATTTAGTTACTGACAGAGAGCCCGAGCAGGAAGATGGGAAGCCAACCTAGGTCTCCATGTGGGTGCCACAAACCCAACCATTTGAATGTCACAAATGTTCCTGGGGATACACATCAGCAGCAAACTAGGGCTGGGAATTCAAACCAGATTCTCTGTGTTGGACAAGTGTGTCAATCATTAGGGGAGGAGTGTGGGACACTTTTAGCAGAGAACACGTGGTCAACAGTCCGGAGGTGTTCAAGCACAGGGTGTGTGAGGGCACTATGGTCCTCGCCATGGGAACAACAGAAAACAGACCTGTTCCTGGAGATCAAGTTGGCCACATGACCTCCAATGTGCTGGGCTCCTCAATGAAGCCTGCCTGTCTCGGGGACGTTCACAGGCTAGATTAGGGGATGCTCCTCAGCACTGAGTGTGTGCAGGTACAAGTGGCCACCACGCCAGTAGCCACCACATGCAGCTTCCTGGTCTTCACTTCTCCCAGGGCCATGCACGGGTCATGAAAATAGGAACGGACTTTGACTCTCCTGGGCATCCTGCCAGCAGGTGAACTGCCCTCCCAAACAAATGACAGAAACAAGTCAAGACTTGTGAAGCATCCCGCGTGGGTTCAGGGAGGACAGGGGTCATCTGGGACTGGAGGGAAGGACGCGGTCACGCTCCCACCTGCCCAGAGCTCACAGGTAAGGGAGCAAAGTGCCCTTCTCGGCTCACCATCAACATCTTATGCAGATCCTCCTCGAAGGCATCAATGTTGCAGCTGGTTCTCTCCAGGTCGTGCAGAACCTCCTGTAGCATGAACTGGTAGTACTGCTTCATCAGGAGGCCTCCCTTCAGCACCTCCTTACACTCCCTCACCAGCTGCAAGGTAACAGGCACAAGTCCCATCACTCCCGTGCCAGCACACAAGCAGCCTTCATTCCTCACACCCCCACCGGCATCCCTGGAAAACGCAGCCCTCGGCAGGGCTCCCAGGTTCCTCAGCAGTTAGCATATGTGACGCATCGAGTGGACTCAACCATGAAAGAACAAAAACAGCAAAAATATCGGAATGCATTATTACAGCATGGATACTCAGAGAAAACGTCACATAGGCAAATAATGTTATGCTTAAATATATTCCTCTACGAATTAATGCTGAAAGTGAATTCCATAGATCAATACGCCTACTAATTTGCATTATAAGACAGAAAAGTCTCAATGAAACGTAATTGACAAAAAATATTATAACAACTCAGATACTTAACACTGAGCATGGTAGCTACAGCAATAATTTATCTACTATGATTTGTGGCCAGTCTACGACTTAAAAAAAAGCTCTAAGAGCTATAAAAATAAGCAAACAAGTTTAAGCGTAATCTGATGAAAGACGATAGAGGTCAAGCCAGCAAAACATAGAAGATGCTCGGGCAGGAACATTACAGGCCGGAAGACAGTGGGATGGGCAATGAAGGCAACCACAGCCTTCCAGGTACTGCGCCCTGCAAAGCTATCCTGCAGCCATCCCAAACACGTAGCACCATCAGGCCTGACCTTCCGCACTACAAAGAAACCAATCAACAGATTCAACAAACAATCCATACACAGGCAGAAATTATTTGCAGACTATACACCTGACAAGGGATTAATACACAGACTATACAGGGTACTCAATAACACAGGAACAAATAATCCGATCTAAAGATGGGCAACAGACTTTTCAAAGAAATACAAACATCCAGGGACATGAGAGAATATTCAATATCACTGTTAGGTGCACATCCAAAGAAAACGAAATAAACCTGCACTCCCATGCTTACTGCAGTGCTAATCACAACACTCAAGAAATGGAAACCCCCGTCACTGGCAAGTGCCGAATAAAAAAAAACTGGATATACACGGGACACTATTGAGCCACAAAAGGGATGAAATTCTGCCACTTGCAGCAACGCAGATCAACCCATTGTGTAAAATGGTTGGCCAGGCAAAGAAACACCATACAGAATCTCAAAAAAAGAAACCAAAGAAGTTAATGGCAGAATGGCAGTTAGCAGGAAGGAGGAACAGGAAGAAGCTGCCGAGCAGGTACCAAGATACAGGAAAGAGAGTCAGGTATTCTGCACAGTAGAGTGACAAGAGATAATAATAACATACTAGAGATGCTTCTCACAGCTAGAAAAGAGGGTGACAGGATAACACATGGATTTTTATTCTTGCTATCATTGTCTGTAATTACAGACAATCTTACACGTTGAAGATACCACAAGGGTACTTAAAATTGATCTCTAAACACAATTAAACCAAGAGTTCTATTTTCTTTTTATTCTAGCAATGCTAAAATAACCTAAGTCTTATTCCTCATAACAGCCCTACTGGCAAAAGTGAGCCTGCCTGGTTTTCCCAGGCAAGAAACCAGAAAATCCTAGATACCTGCGACCACTTGGAGGACAAGCTGAAAGCCTGGTCATAGTGTACAGCCAAGCAAGAAATGAAAAATAAGACAGCAAGAAAGAAATAGAGCTCTGGTCAGTGCTGGGGACGGACTGCAGGAATGAAGATGGGCCGAACCCATCAGTCACTCTATTCCACGCCTAATCACACACATGTACACACCCCAATCACACACACACACACACACACACACACATCCCATGTGCACCTTCTGCATGACCTGTAACTACCTGTGTCTCTGCTACCTGTACTGAATCAAACAGCTCCCAGCTCTTCAACCCCCAGGTGATATGCATCTACAAAACAGAGCACCACTCTTTCCTCTGTCTGAAGAATTTAATTCTGCAGAGTGGAGGCACTACGTTACTACCACAAAGCACAAGCACCGTGTTCTGCAGCACTCCCCCGCAGACACACCTGCTGTGGCCATTCCTCTGATGTCCCTGGAATGTCGGTCCCTGTAAGACTTCATCCAACAGGAGCAACAACCGAGACTCTGGAAGCTGTGTCACAGATGAAACCACCCAACTGTTTAAATGAGCAAAAGTCCAACCACCTCGCCTCTGCGTGCTCTAAATCCATTCTTTCGCTTCCATATCCTTCAAGCAGAATAAAAAAAGTCAATCTGAGGAACTTTAACTCCATCTCTCATGAATGAGAGATTAAGTCTCCAATCTTCAAACACTGTTATCAGGAAGTCAGAGGGTCATGTGACCACTCTTATCTTTGCCCTGTCTTAGAACAAAGAGGCAGAGAGCAAAAGTGGTAAACCACAACCTTCCTGGACTACACAGAAAACATTTTACATTGTTGCCAACAGAGCACTCAAAAACACTACAATCCTACGGCTGTTTGTAACCAGCAGGGGGAGGATCCACAATCTGCAGGATAAGAGGTCCCAGGCACCACACCTGCTTAATACTGAGCAGGGACGGCTCTCCGGCAGGCCTCTGCTCCAGTCTCAGCTTGAGGCACTCATGGATGACGTTCAGGAGGACCCGGCAGAGGACCAGGAAGGCAGGCTCGAAGGAGGGCAGGTCCATGGCCCTCAGCTCCTCCCAGGACACGGTGCTGCATTTCTGCTCGGCGGAAGGCGGGGTCCTGGACAGCTGCACGTAATCCGAGCCCCACATGGGATCTGGGAATTCAGAAAACTAGAACGAAAATTCAACATGCAGTGGTTAAAAAGGCACACTGGACAGTACCCTCAGGTTGGGATCATAAGCAATTATTAAATTGTTGACAAATCTACATATCCTAATTGTACTGAGCAGAGTCTCTAACAAGTTAACATTTTCAACTGGGACCTCAGCAAATCTGAGTGTTTAAAAATCATAGCAACAACTGAAACCAAATGATAATGCTTTTAACCAAGAAGTTTGGTAGAGAAAGAAAAGAACCAAGTTCACGCTTAGCAGTTTTGCATCATACTTACAATGATCAGAACACTGTATCTTCAAGGCTACCTATTTACAACTTTCTCTAGACTAGAAAAACCAAACCAAAACAAAAAAAAACCAGAAAGATAAAAAAACAGGTAACAGCTCATCCTAAGCAGTAACTTACACGACTATAAAAGCAGTGGGTGTAGCCAGTTCTTCTCTCCACAAGTTCCTGGGCTACACTGGATGATGCTAAAGGGAAAACAGACTCCTCAGGTCCACCCAGCACTGCCACCCAAGGATGCAGCATTTGGTGCTTCCCAGGAACCCCAGGGTGGCTCACCCATTTCTTCAGCTGTCCTCGAAGTCTTACACCTCTCCCCTAAATACAGGAAACGTGGAGCCTGGCCACTGTCCTCAAATCTTCACAGATCCTGCCCTTTCCTTTTATTGAGAATATTAAAACCAAGCAATTTTTCTTCAATGTATAATCCCCCACTTACAGGTGTTCTGCCTCCATGGCATTACTCACTTCCTTCCTCCCTGTCATTCCTGAGCTCCTGGTTGGCCTCCCTGCTCACATCTTGACCTCTAATGTGTTCTCTTCAGAGCCAGAACGACCAGTTCAAAGCCGAACACAAGGAATTCACCCAATAAAACTTAAAACTCCAACCACGGCTTTCAAGGGCCCATGTGACAGACTCCCTTCCAGAACGTTCCCCCCCCCCGCCCCGCTCTCATGTGAAAAGACTCCCTCCCAGAACTTTCCCCACACTACTTCCATAAGACAGACTCCCTTCCAGAACTTTCCCCACACCACTCCCATGTGACAGGACTCCCTTCTAGAACTTTCCCCTTACTACTCCCATGTGATAGACTCCTTTCCAGAACTTTCCCCACACCACTGCTCCTTGCTTATCTCAGCAGGACCTGCCGGGAGGGCAACAAATAGGGGGAAACTGCCAAATCTCAGTAACAGACCATTTCATTTAAAACAGAAAAGTGCTGGCACAGTAATAAACAAATCAAAAAAGGAACAGATCCAATTATCTGTAGTAAGTTAGTGTAACAAGTAGGGAGCAATTTAGGAGACCGGAAAAGAATGGATTATCCAGTGACTGTCAAGAGGCAACTGAAGGAAAAACAATTACTGCTTGCCTCACATGTTACCTTGTGTTTCCATGTGCCTCAGGCAAATAATGATTTCGAAAATAATACTATTTCATAAATTCTCGTGTGCTACAGAAATCAATGTATGTATTATTTTAAATACAGTAGCACAATGAATATATATCAGAGTACCTCAAACATGCATGAAGTGTCCTCACCCTTTAGTTTCATTTTTTCATCGTTATTTTGAAGCACCCTCATATTTGGAGATTCCAAATGTACCAAAATCTAACGACAGCAATATGCTAGGTTAAACTGTATGACACTACCAATTTAATCAGCCAAAAATGATCCAACATTGTCAGGTTAGCACGAGTCAAACTAATAAAAAGATCTCTGGGAAGACAGTGGTGGCAGGTGCATTCTGCCTTCCATTTTGTCCCCCATCAAAGAGAGAAAACAAGGTAAACACTGCAAGACACACTTACAATGAAACTAGGCAGCAAAGTATCTTCATGAACCCCAAAACAGAGGGGGAACGCAACGAACTGCCCCGACATTCACAGGCACAGCATTCAAGCACAGGAAGCCACTGCGGTTAGTGGATGTCTAACTGGTGTGGAGCTCCAAATCCCAAAACCAGTCACGGTGCAAGCCCATGGCAGCAGCAGAGGAGGTGGCAGCGAGATGTGAAACAGCTACAATTCTACAGAGCCCCACAAACTCCTGCATCTGGTACCTCAAATTCCCATCCGGGGCAAAGCTCCACACGAAGCAGAAAATGACAAGAGGAAAACCCAACTGACCAGAGAAGCACAAACACGACAGAGGGAGGAGGAAGTGCAGTGGACGGCAGGGAACCGTGGCGAGCGAGCCCCAGCCAGGGCAGGTGTGTGCTGTCTAGCTCTGGAGACGCAGCACTAAGCAATATGCGACACCTTCGAGCTTGCTCTCCCCCCAAACTTCATCAGAACATGCATCACATTTTAAAATGCACAACATAGGACTGTGATAGAACCCAACACAAGGATAACATAAACAGAGGGAATAAGGCGCACACTGGACAGACAGGACCTACGTGCCAGAAAGGGGTGGCCATGCAACCCAACTTTAAAATACACTAAAAGAAAATCATAGGCAAAGTCAAAGCAGTAGAGCTCAGAAAATACTTTTCTAGCTTTCAGTTTTTTAAAAAAAAACACAAGGGAGACCAGCACTGTAGCACAGCACAGCAGGCCATCTCCCACACAGAAGCTGGTTATGCTCAGGCTGCTCCACTTCTCATCCAGGTCCCTGCTAATGCCAACCCGGGAGGCAGTGGAAGATGGCCAGGTGCCTGGGCCACTGCACCCCCGAGGGAGACCCAGAATAAATTCCTGGTTCCTGGCTTTGGTCTGCCTCAGTTTTGACCATCATGGCCGTGTGGGGAGTGAACCAGGAGGTGGAAGACCTCTCTCCTTCACTGCTTCTGAAGCTCTTTTTGCAAGTAAATGTCTAAAGAAAATACAAGGAACATATGAGTAAATACACATGTTTCTTCACAGAAACAGAAGGCTTTAAAAAGTAAGGCAATTTTACAAATCAAAAAGGAATGAAGAAAAAGATACACACCAAAGTGAAAGGAGATAGGCAAAATATACCCACAACATAGAAGTAGTGGTTCCCATGAAAACCAAACCGTGAAACACAAAACACTTAGAGTTGTATGTTAAGAAATTTAAAACTTAAAAAGCTGACAAAAAACCACTTGAAACTGCAAATGATGTATTTAAAAATATCAAACTGAATGAATCAACACCACATAAAACTAGAAGATGGAAAGACAATGCTTTTTGCGTTCAGCAAGCTACAGCATTTTAAAGTGTAAACAAAACAACACACTGTCACTGACTTTGGAAGGTCAAAGGCTCATACCAAAGGCAATGATGGAGCGTTTATCCAAGGGAAGGAGACACACGGCAAGGTTTTACAGCCAGCCAAGTGCACAGCCATGTGGAACTGAGAACACTACTCAGGGAATACTGTCTTCGAGTCCTTACTGAGGAACCTACAAGACAGTAAGTGGCACACAAGACACTGGAATTGGCAAACGAAGCAGGAGCCTTCAAACAGAATCCTAAAGAGTGATCATCTTCCATCCTGGTGCATGTGTGTGCACATGCACACGCGTGTGCACACACACACACACTCAGGAGCCTTCAAACAGAATCCTAAAGAGTGATCATCTTCCATCCTGGTGCAGTGTGCACACACACGCACTCAGGAGCCTTCAAACAGAATCCTAAAGAGTGATCATCTTCCATCCTGGTACACGCGTGTGCACACACACACACTCAGGAGCCTTCAAACAGAATCCTAAAGAGTGATCATCATCCACCCTGGTGCATGCACCTGCGCACACACACACACAAAAACCCTCTGCATCCCTACAGTTTTAAGATGTAACAATGGCTTGAGACACTAAGTTACCTTCAATCCTGGCTGTATGGGCATGTAAGACAGAAACACCATAAACACCATCAAACTCTGCAGGGAAAGGGATGTGTGTGTTAAATACCACAATATGTCACTAGGCAAAGTTACTTTCAAAGACATCCTAGAAATAAAAGAGAACTTCCAATACAGGAAGAGCAAATTCGGTGCTGGGGTCTGTGTGGTGGGCGTGGAGGACACAGAGGTGTGAAGAGAACTGTTCCATTCAAGGCAAGGCTGCAAGAAATTTCTCACTGCATGCTGGGCCCCAACAATGTCTCTGCAAGTACTTGGAAGCTGTTCCACCTCCCTTTGCAAGGACACCGGACCACCCGCTGAGAATTCTGTAATCTATTTAGGCATTGTCTGCCACTGTGGAGTTGGTTTTTACTATCCATGTGAGCTTGGAAGTTGATAAGTTATAAGTCTTGCAAAGGGGCCTTTTACAATTCATGCTGTCTCCTCATGGACCCACTGGTAAGCGTGAAACCTGGCATTGGGAGAGGTTCTGATGGAGGAGCCTGGGCAACTCCTCTGGCAGGGCACAGACCCAGCAGGTAAACGCAAGAAACATGATAGGAAACAGCCCAGAAAAAGCCATGGAAAACTACCCACTGGCATACAATTGGCAGACGTGGGGGCAAGACCAGGCTGAATCTGTCCACGTCATCCACTGGCAAATCCAGGCACCAGTGTGGGTCGACCCAGGTTCGGTCGCAACAAAGACTAGTGCACATTATGGAATGCCGAGGTGAGGTTGCCTGTACCGGAAGGGACCGCAGCGCCCAACCAGCCTGAGAACAAGAAAGGAAGTGGGCAGAGCTGGCAGGGGAATAAGGGAGGGTTCCTTTGCTGGACAGCTACTTCCACAGGAGAGCATGGGCTGGGATGGGGGCAGACCAGACTAGGCAGAGCTACCACACCTGTGCGCCTCATGTGGACTAGATCAGGGAAAGGCCAGGCTGGGCGGATTATTCCTACTGGTGCAAACAAAATTAAAGTGGGCGAGGTTTGTTTGGGCAGCATCAACTGGAATCTGGGAGTGGGAGAGGCCTGGGAGGGAAATAGTGGGCTCATCCCTCTTGGGTTACCACTTCCATGGGAGGACATAAAACTAAGACAGCGGCTGGGGTGGAATGGGATGTGGGACAGACTGGATTACTGCTACACTTACTGGCAAACCAGGGTAG